ACGTCCCCACTCTTTCGGTACGAGCTTACCGGGAGGAACATTACAGTACGTGTCTTGCTGGCCTGTCAATATGCCTCTGTTCCTTTCCACACTTTCTTTCTTCGAGTTGCCGGGCTTTCCATCTTCTTGAAGGTCGACAAATATTAGTACGGTCTTATAGCATTCTATCAGCGCCTTTTTGTCTCCTGTAGTTGACAGACCTGTGCCCAATGCTTTTAAAGCCTCCTTCAATTGCTTCATCGTCCACGTCGTTTTTCCTTCTTCGGCCGGCACGGCCGTACCTTCTATGTTCTCTTCAGTTTCCACCTCTTTCTTCATCTCCCTCTCCTCATTGCATCTTGATAAAACCTGGTTCAACGTACCACTCTCATTGTTCACGAACCGCCGAAACACGAAGTTTTACGAACTGCCCAACTTAGCGATTCGCCTACTTAGTTTTGACTGGAACTACATGCCTTTAACCTCCAATTCGGACAGCCCCGAGTGAAATTATGTCCAAGAGTTCCAAAATGCGCCAAATATTGAAAATAACATAAAGCAGTGTTAAAATCATACGCTACACAGCAATCGAGTAGTATACCGTCACAGTTTATGATTGGCTAGTAGGAAGAAGCGGTAAGAAAAATCGGATAAAGAAGCGATATAATTTTTTTGATACACCGCCCTAGTTGGGGCATTTTGCATGTATAGTTAAATACCATTGGTTTTCATTTCACGAGTGGAATAGTCATAGTTAATACCACGAGTGCTTTGGAAATTGTCGATAAATCCCCGACTCGCTTCGTGGGTCTGGATTTATCTGAGAATTTCCAAAGCACGCGTGGTATTTAATAGGACTATTCCATGAGTGAAATTGTGTCCAACAGTTTTCCAAATGCGCCAAATTTAGAAAATATGTTTAAAGACGTTATTATACACAGGCTGTTTATTTTACGTCGACATAGCGATCGATGTACGTATCAGGCTACGATAACCGAGTCAGGAAAAGCGGTAAGAAAATCGGATAAAGCAATAAACTTTTTGGGATACACCAAACCTGATTGGAGTATTTTGTATATATAGTTAAACATTGTTGGTTTTCATTTCAAGAGTGGAATAGTCAATCTAGATCAAAATCGGCTGACAGTTCATACACGTCCATGAATAAAATATAGACGATAGTATATTGCGCTCCAACTTCATAAAAAGGGTTCAAGAAAAAACGTGGAGCGGTTTTCCAGAAAATCTTACACTAATTTTGTGCGAGTGGAAATTGTCAGTGTCACTCAAAATTAAGCGAAAATACACTATTTAAAAGAAAAGTCACATATAATATCATTTAGATATAATTTTGATGAAATTAAAGAAAAGTATTTAGCTTCAAAAATGTTGTAGGATGGAAAAAAAAATTTGTTAATACCACGTTTGAAAAATTAAGTTTTTTTAAATGTAATCGGGCTCAAGCCCTATTTATTAGTACAGTTGGCTTTATTCACGCAAGAGATTTAAAGCAAAGAACTTTGAACCATGTTATAACAAATTTTGAAAATATTCAAGGTGTGTTGTGTAAAGTATCCCCCAAAATAAGAGAAGCTTTTCAAATTCTCAGACTCAGAAATTTCAAATTCAGTCAGATTTTATTTCAAACTTCTCATGCTTTTTTTGATTAGGTTTTCAAATTATGGTTTTAGTAGAATAGAAGTTGCAATATTGTAATTTTATTATCATCACAAATAATATGAGAGATGTGTTGTAACTCCACTTGTTTGTCTTTCCAAGAAAGTCTTATAAGTCTGAACAATACTATCAACCCTGAACAGCATATCATATTTTCAAAAACAGATTTTGTTCAATGAGTGCCAACTATGGTCCTTGCAACTTTGAAAAGAATCTTAATTTTAGAGAGGTAAAATATGATGCTTGTAGAAAATTTTCAAAAATAGCTCTAAATATTTTCTTAATTTTCTCCAACAAATAAAACAATAAGGTGAAAGAAATTACACAACAAGTGGCCTACAGCAGCAAAAATGCTTCTGTTGCATATATGGAAAATCAGGTGCGGATCTGTGGGGTGGGAAATGAGGGAAATTCCCCCTTCCAAAATTATTCAGTAACTATTGTGAATTGTATGAATCCAAGTGAATTATCCAATCAGAATGTGAGCTGAGTTTACTGAGATACTGTGTATTCTGTAATATGACACATTTGACCAAAATATTTGAAAAGAATAAATAAATTTAAAAAATCCCCTTCCAAAATTAGTCTCTGGATATGCCCCTCGGAAAATGGAATACTGAAGCAACAAAAATTAACTGATCTGAAATGGCACAAATTAGTACTTATTTCTTCCTCGTTGCAAGAGTAAGCAGTGAAGTAATAACAGTGTACACTCGTGGCTAAATGGCGAAGTCGATTGCCTTTCACCACTGAGGTTCCGTGTTCGATTCCCGTAGAATCTCCATACAACCTCATGTGAAATTTGTTACGATAAGACGAGTTAGTATGCTTCACAGAGGCTAGTCCAAACCCTGTGAAGCGTCCAAACCTTACTCCTATTCCCAATTCTGGCCGATAGGTAGATGACGCAGGGCGCGTGCGAGACGCAAGCGTTAAAACGCTACCTATCGGCGATTCCCTGACTTTACTACCCAGCGGCCCCGAGAGGGTGTTGGCATAATATAAGTGGAATAAGACGACTCCTACAGCAATTAACGGAGGATTACTCCACGGTGCGTTAAACACTATGAGCTACGAGACGCATTGCTTATAATAAACGCAAAAATAATAATAATTATTATTTATACGAAAGATCTGCATTCATTAAAAATTAACACACTAATCTTTCCTATTTTTCCCAAGCTCCTGGATATCTAACAAAACCACAGACACTTTTCATATGGCTGAAGGCCGCATAGTTTTCTTTCAATTTCTGGGGCCATTGGAATTTAGTAATATAGATGTTTCTGTATTTTTCTTACATTCTTGTAAATATGTATTTTTATATAATTACTTATTCTACCATTGACATTTCATTTTTTGGCTATTACATACTTCTTACAAATTTCATATTTTGACTTTCAATTTTCAAATTTATACAATAAAATCTACTACGCTTCTACAACCACTAGACCTTGAATTGTCAAACTTGCTCCCCCCCAGCCAATGGTTCTTGGAAATAAGCAACTCAGAATAAAGGATGAGCAGGTGTTTACTTAGCAAGAATAAATCTTTTGTTTTACAAAGCCCATGCACAACTCCATCGAAGTGTGTCAAATATTTTTTACAGATCACTGTCTTGTCACTGTCTGTTGGATTTTTTGTGTATGTGTGCGTGTGTGTGGGGGGGGTGAATATGTTCTCTTGCCCTCCTTCCTCCTGGAGATTTATCACTGACTACATGGAATAACTGTTCACATGCACGCCGGTTTCTCTTTAACATTAAACACTCTGTACATATTTTGTTTTTAATAAAACTAGTACGTGTAGTGAGACTCAGACTTTTAGTGGTAAATTAATGTTGCTGAGGAGGAACGTTCCTCCAGCTGCTTCAAATCTGATTTACGACCTCATCAGTGGAACGTTCTGTTCAGAATTTTTTTAATGTACTTCTAGGAAGCAATTTTAAATACTAAAATGAATTTTTATTCTATGTTTTTTTCCATTTTTCTCACATCTTTTGGCAGAAATAAATACATGTGTATTTACACATATTGCTTCTTTATTAAAACCTAATGCTTTCATGAATGTTTTTTTAAAATAATAGTTTCCAAGACATTTTGAAGCAAATACTTCTTTCTTTTGAGGTTAATTTTCCTAAAATACCTACAAAAGAATTTCTCAAAAATACCTATTGGTTTTTCTTTTGAGATTTTTATACAGAAAAGGCAAACCGCTCACAGAAAATTATATGACTCAAGAGACATTTACATTCAACCTTTTGAATAAAAAAAAAATACATATACCCAAAATACTTTACTCTTTACTGTACTCTATCACCACAGTGGCGATTATTATGCATATATTGAAGGTAGGCTTACTGAACTAGTGGCAAAGCCCAGTGGGATCATCTGTTCTGTATGATTTTGAAGCATTAGCATGTGGCATGCACGGTTCCATCATTTCAACTATTTCTGTTTTACTAGTAAAGGAATAGATGTAGTTTGATAGAGAAAGTCACACAATGCTGCAAAACTGGAAGTTGAGGTTTTGATGCAAAGGCGAGTTCCGAGGATCCCCAAAACTGAAAAATGGGGTTTTTCAAAACATCTGCTTGCGAGTCTTGAAACAGCACTAGCGCTTAAACCGTACACATAATACCTCAAAAAAGATATGATGTATTACATAGATGACAGCTGTGCTTATACATTTATGCATAATAAAACGAGGGGATATGAAAGGATTAACAATATACATGTACCCTTTTACGCTGTAAATTGAACACAGACAATCGAGTGACCTTATACAAATTGCTGACATAAAAGCAAACTATCGAATGTAAAGAATGCTCAATTCCTATCAACTACTTTAGAAGTGAAAGTTGTAATGGTAAAGTGTTCACAAAATGTAAACGAAAATTTTATGATTTCATATTTTGCATCGGCAATTTCATAGGGGATTAGGCACTTTGCCACTTTACGTGTTTTTTTTGTTTTTTTTAAGTTGTTAGGATAGTGACAAGTACATTTAAAAAAAAAAGTTCAACCAATTGCCTCTGAATTGCATGATTTAAATAAAAAATTAATAACTTGCACAATTGACAAATGTTACAATGATTTCACTTTAAGTTCTACATTTTCATAAATACATTTTTACAAATACACAAATACATACATTTTCGCAAATCATAAGCAAAAAAAGGAATTTTAATGCACTGAAAAAAATATTTCTGGAAATTTAAATTTGGGAATTAAGATAAGATATTATAGTAAAATAATATGTCACATTACCATAATGTAATTTTCATTGCAGAATGTAATAATACAATCAAAATATTGTTTTTTTCTCCATAACTTTTTACTTACCTTTCAGGTCTATTTCTGAACGAAATGCAGATGTAAACTTCTCATCCATACAGCTACCCTCTTCACAAAGAAAATGGTCAGCACGAAAATGGTCTCGCAGATAATCATAAGAGCTGCCAAAAATAGAAAAAAGGCCTACACTTATTCAACGATCATGGTACATTTTCTACTTTAATCTTTACTGAATTTTATGGTCACAGTATTTTCATTGAAAGACAAAACAAATTAAAAGTGGATTCTGTTAGTGCAAAATTTTGCCTTATATAAACAGTGAAACTGTTACATAATTCCTATATGAATATGTATTTAAAAATTACTAAAACCATTAGAAAGTCACTGAAAGAAAACTTGAAATTTTAATTTTATCTTTCTATGAGATTACAAACTTCAACACCTCAGATATGAATCCTAATATTTTATAACTTTTCATTAAGCAAAAGTCTATTGAATAGAAGTTATTATAACCTGCCAATTTTCTAGCATAATACACATTCCTAGTCTAAATAAAATTGTTTTGTTCTCATCTCTTATAATGAAATTTTCTACGCACATTTTTATCAGAAGTACATCTCCTCAACTTTCTGAGTTCCAGGGAAGGGTTCACCACAGATTATTTCATTAACTTCTGACACTGTCATAAAAAGTGAACAGATGTTAATCTGCTCAGACAGAATACTCATTTCAAAGCTCAGTAGATACCTATAATAACGGTGAAATCCATCAGCATCACAAAAATGGCAAAAGAGGTGATCTCTTCGGAGGTGTCGAAATAACTCATCGTTGTCCATATAACGTTGGTCACAAAATTCACAAAGAGGATGACCCCTATGTGATCGATCATCAGGATCACCTTTCCTTCTATGCTGGGCTAGCTCTTGTCTTGTATAGCACCTTCTTTCACCAGTGAATATCTGTAGAAGCAGTTCTCATAAGAATTTTTAAACAAAATATTTACAACTTTTGGTAACCCATATCATACCTTCAAGTTGTCCACACACAAATCGCAATAATGAAGTTCATGTTCCTTCCTCATGTGATCTTTCAAGTTTTGAAATGTTCTGAAAGCAGGTCTCCCTGGACATATTGTACACACATGTTCCAATAATTTACTATAAGCAGATTGAATTTCAGCGTTGTCGAAGCATATTTTGAACTTTTTGTCCATAAGGTATGTATTATTTTTGATATTCTTGAAAGGTTGCACGTTTTTTGTAAATATAACCTAAAAAAGAAGGTCCATGTGAAAACATTATTCATCTTACGTGACAACATAAGAAATAAACACTGTCAACATTAGAGGAAAAAACATTTTAATATGACAAGCGATACGTTTACCTTCGGCATATCTTGTCTGCAAATAGGGCATTCATTTTGACGACACAAAACTCGCATTCTCGTGGAACACTCGTAGCACACGGGGTGGTCACATTCACCGATGGAGTAAATTGATACATTTTTGAAGCAAACGACACAGGTATTTTCGGTGTTTTCACTTAAGACTGTCGATGACATGATCACTATCAGAAAGCAAACCAATATCAACGTATCTGAGTAAAAAATCTGAAACAAATGCGGTTTGTCACTAAAGACACACCAAGATTGATGACTTTCGTCAGTGTTATTTGTCAGTTTTCAACTACAATTATGGTTTGATACGGTAGTATCAAGTGTCAATATTACTTTTTCACAACAGCAATTCCCTCCACTGGATCACACGAGAAAACTCGACCATTCAGCACGACTTATGTCCTACTTGCAACTACGGCGACGGAAATGACTGGTTGTACACTGCGTACACTGTATAGTGCAAAGATATCTCGATCGTGGAGAGAAAGCTGGTAACATGCTAAGATAGTGGATGTTGGGAAGAAAACCCAAATTTATCCATTTTGTTAATAATAATCACGAAACATCCTCAAATTGTTGTGGCGACACCATTGACAACCGGATTACTAAAAATTTTGGTTTCAGATCCGAACAACTTTTCATAAAACTGAACAAGTTCAAAAATAGTTTTACAACCGTACTCAGTTGAGGACTTAATAATGTAAACTGAACTGTATTCACTCAAGTATATTTTGTTAATATATATATTTATATTTTTAACACGATAAAATAACAAGTATTTGGTTACTTTCCCAAATTATGAACATCGAGCTTTTGACCAACACTTAAGTTCATAATACTTCAGTAAAGATGGACGCAGCCGGAGCGTACGGTGGTGGTAAAGCTGGAACTCCGTTTGATCCAATTCAATTTGTTCAGCGCCCGCAAGTGATATTGCGAGGGTTGTGTTTGGTAAGTAAATATTCTTGTGTGTAATAATTATTTTAACTATCGAGCTTCCTCGCGTATGGTAAATTTCCGAGAGGAAACTGTGCATCGATTTTGACATTACCACCGCCATGACTCGCCCTTGTAATGGGCGAGCCGATATGGGATAATATTGATTTTTTACGAATTCTCAATGTAGGTCACTAATTTACTGGCTGAATTGTGTGAAACATTAAATAGAAATTGTTCAGAGCATTTCTAAACCTTTTTTTCCAGAACGATTGTATTATATTTGAAGCGATCTCTTATTATAGTGTACTTTGTTTCAGCTATTTGCCATCATAGTATTCGGCTGTATATCTTCGCAAGGATGGGCGAAGGGAGCGGAAAAAGAGTATTGCCTGTATAATGATGATTCGAATGCATGCAACTATGGCGTCGGTATTGGTGTTATAGCGTTTCTGGCTGCAATAGGCTTCCTTGTTGGAGAGTATCTGTTTGAGCAAATGTCATCCGTAAAAACGAGAAAGCATTACGTTCTTGGTGATTTAGGTTTTTCTGGTTTGTATACTTTTACGTACAGAGTATCACTATGACAGTTGTACAGTATAATTTACAGAGTGAGTCAAGTTTGAGGCTTCAGATACTGTGAGGTGTATTGTTATTGATTTAAAAATTGTTTTCCAGGTTTCTGGTCATTCTTATATTTTGTTGGATTTTGCTACCTGACAAATCAATGGAGCAATGCCGAGAGTCCACCACTTGGCGTTGGTGTAAATAACGTTCAGGCAGCAATAGCATTTTCTTTTTTCTCTATCTTCACTTGGGTACAGTTTATTCAATTCATCTCTAAATTCCCATATGTAGTGATATTTAAAAAAAAATCGATTTTATATTTCACATATTTTATTTTGTTGTATATTTTAGGCTGGCTGTGCTTGGTTTGCTTTCCTGAGGTTCCGACAAGGTAGTGAGGCAGCATTTGCTCCTAGCTATGAAGCAGATCCAGCTGCAATGCCCGGAGGTGGCCCTTACACTTCGTATCCCATGGGCCAGGAAGCTGATGCAGCATACCAAGAACCTCCATTCTCCGGCTCTCAAACACGAGGTGATTTCTGTAATTTTGACTGGTTTGTTCCAATCATCCTTCCTTTTTTATCCTCTTCCAGTTTATTTCCTTGCTGTTAAGGTTTTCTGTATTATTGGATTCTTTACATTGATTTACTCGACCTTATGTGAGTGTTTGAGTTTTTCTTGTTTTTTTCTGAACTTTTCTCTTAGTGCTATAGCATACTGAAAAGGGTTTACTCTTTCCTCCATGGTTCTAGCTATCACTCTTTTAGACATTTCACTCACCAATTTTTGTATTGTTTTTTGAAAGCTATTTCCTTCTTGTACTTAAATGTTTCATCTTTATTTTGTGTTTTTTGCTCAATTTAATTAAAGTTATATTTTTCTAGAACTCACAATGTATTGAAATAAACTCAGAATATTGGGGCAAAGTCCGGATGTGTGTGTAGCTAGAAAATCCAGGAAACACTTATATCTTCCTTAAAAAAATAATTTCTGAAGCATTTCTAGAGGGTGGCTGTAAACGTCCAATAGACTTTGTAATTTGTTACACTATGGATAATGAGCATACAATAAAATACTGCCTATCTTACATTAAAAACAGAGTTGCTATTGGATTTAATTTTTTTATAAATATGCCTTAGTGCATGTTTGAAACAGTTTCATTTGGTGATATTTAATGAATTATGTGTAAAATGGGTATTTTAAGTATGTTTTAGGCACTATTAACTCTTTTCAGTAGACCTGATTTTTACTGATCTATAAATATTTCCTACTTTCCCTGTAAGTAACAATACAGACATTTGATTAGAAAACCAACATTATTCATAGGGTATGACCTGTAACCATCTTGTTTCAGGACCTGTGGGCACAGACTTCCAGGCACCTGCTTATTAGCCAACAGAAGGCCACTTTCAGCTGTTAAGAGTAGCGAGTGTGCTGTGGGCCTGTGTGCCAGCCATCATACAGTGTCATAGTCACATTCCTTTCTGTGTACTTCATGTTTAGCCCTGTTATCTTGTTTTGGAAGTTGAGTACATCACACCCAATCTTGTGGAGTTGTTTACATCCACACTGCCCAGAGTACCATTTTTGTGTTTATTCCTCTTCTTCCCAGTCTCTGGCAAGTGGCACTGGAGATGTGCTGTATGGGAAGCAGTAGTTGTGTCTTTAGGTGTGTGCTACTCTGTGGGCTGAGGAGCAGTCAGAAGGACCTTCCTCTGACCTGATTACCTCTTGTATAGCTCCCAATGGGTGTGGGGCCTGGGGTAAGAGGCAGGCAATTTCTGTGGAAAGCCAGGCTCCTCGCCCTGGGGAAGGGCCAAGCATTGAATTTCATTGTTTTTAAATTTTGTCTGTTATGATGCACAGTTATACAGATGTGTAATTATTCTAGTCCTTCACTGTTTCAGTGAACACCTTTGTTGAACATCTATGGTAGATTAGAAATCATTTGTTAGAGTTGTCTGATTTAACCAGAAGCTGAGAAATAAAAATATAGCTGTATATATTTATTATATTATCTGGCCAAAGTGCAGTTGTACTTGTTTTCATTCTGTAGTCCACATCTGTGAGCATGTGATGGTGTGTAGTTGCGACTGGACGTGGAAGTAAGTCAGTAGGGATACAAGTACAGTTCATGTAAGTCATAGACTACTGTATTGCAAAGTTAAACGTGTAATAAAGTCATTGTATGTAATCTAAGAGCTGCATGTTCATTTGATGTAGTACTGAACATTGCTGGCTGTTTATTCATCATGTACAAACTAGCAGTTTGAGGCACAAGTTGGGGTACCAAAGTTGGCATCAGCCTGCACCACAAGCATTAATGTAATGTGTGTTTGTAGCTTGTTGGGTTGCTGATGGGCACTTAGTGCTTACCAGTGCCTCTGTTAACTCTAGTTTCTTCCAGTATTGTAACAGTAGTTGCTGTTTGTAGGCTAGGCACATCCCTCTGTTAGTTGGATGCCTGAAATGCAATACATTTGTTGTATTAAGTACTTTACTAAGACATTTTTGTATGTACAGATGTATTAAGTAATAAGTTCAACTTAAGTTTAATTTGTGTTTATATGTACTTTCTCTACAAGCCCCTGTAAATACATTTATATCAGACTTGTCAGAGTTTATTTTTAATAGAATTATTTTTACTATGAACAGCTGTTAAAATTATGTCCTTGGGAGATAAATTTATGGTGTAAATAATCTTGTAAAGGATGTTGCAGCAAAAGATCAACTCATGACCTACCATTCCTTTGAATTCATACATTAAAAATGTGTTCTGTAATGGAGTGAATGATGACAACGAAACCTCACAATTACTAGCTGGTGTTTTCTGATTCGATTCTGATAAGAGGACTATGTCTTGTGTGCCACTGAGCAAATTGTCTCCATGCTGTAGTAGTTGTACACCTCCCGTTTTGTAGGTTGCATCTTCCTTTGCATGGTGGAGGTGGTGCTCATGTGTTACTAGCAGTTAGTGGCAAAAGATTCTGCCTGTAATATTTAATTGGTGTTACAGAGTTCATCTTGATGGATTTTAGGATGTGAATCCTTGCCACTATTTGCTTCAATTTCAGTTAATGCTTGTACTTACATGAGCAGCAACCAGCAAATAATACATGTCTTAAAAATTAATATGTTGACAAAATGTTAATCAGGTATATACAAATGTCTTCAGATATCTGTTCATGAATGTTAAGTCTTTTTTTCAGTGTATTACAATGGTATGTGAATATTGAGAGTATAGAGGACTTGATACTTTGAAAGGCGTGTACATCTGGCCAAGCATTGAATAATTGAAATTTGTCAGGCCCTCTTTCTGTTCAATCATGTTTAATCATTGTATGAATCTCAAGAACATATGTATTTGAAAATGTTGATGGTTTTGACAAATAAAACATTTCAACCCACAGTTGTTAAATTTGTTAAATTTTTGTATATTAGAAAAAAAAATATGTGAATCCCCGTTTATACTTTTAAATGTAGTTTTTGTTATTGACATTCAGTAAATGAAAATTACACTCTAACAAGGTAAATTTCAGAATACCTGATATATGTACATTTCTTGCACTAAAATTGACTACAAAGTTTCAAATTTTGTGAACATAACAGTTCTTTGTGAAATTTTCGAACTTCGCATGTTATATTTTAAAGATGATGGTCAAAATATCTCTGTAATTGAAATACCTTCTAATATTGTGTTGACACCCGTAGAGGGAAATTTATTAAGTAAACTGCGTTTTTAGTATTAATCATGTCGAACCGACCGCCCATGTAACGTGGCGCCCCAGCGCTATATTAAAAATAAAAATGAGTAAAACAAATTATCGGCACAGCTACTGTTGGCGTATCAGGCTGTTGATTCCAAGTTAATGGGTTCAAATCTGACCGAAACTGGATTTTTAAGGGCAAAAAAAGTCTTCAGTGAGGAAGTAAAGCCGGCCGTCCCATGTAGAGTTACTGCGTGTAAAATATTCTCAAGCTTAAAAGAAGTCAGAGCTAAATTGAAAATCGCCTGCTTCGACACCCCCCGAGAAATACCTTCTTTCTCCGATAGATGGTGAAAATAGCGTAACGAAATTTGCGCGGTCAGGTGGAAGAGAGGGCCCAAGTCTCGCCACGTAAAATAAGGCTACTAAAGAACTAAAAGCATATCTTGCGGTCAAGGCGCTCCGAGTCGGCCACAAGCCAACCTCCACCCCTACGTGGGTTCCGTTGCAGGGGTTCTGGCCTCAACCGAGTATCCCTCGGTGTAAGGCATTGATTCCCAAAGGGGGGGGGCGGGTTCCTCCAAGGGAGAGAAGTCAAGGGGGCGCGGGACCCATTGAGCCGTATGTTCTCCAACATTCTCGGGGACTTAGCGCGTTCGGAAGCTTTGAATTTTGTCACAGTGACCTTGTTGCATTTTGTGGTTTGTGACGCAAGACATCGTTCAAAACGAGATCAGCAAAAAACACAAGAATAACAATTATATTAAATATGAGTTTATTTGCGTGCATACGAATGGTGTTGAATTTTAGCAATAATGACATGAGTTCTAGTCGTCTTGAACGACATTAGCGGCGAAGCGCAGGACATTCCCGGGCGATGGAGAAACCAACGTGGGCACATTATGTTGCTCTAATAGTAGGACTTGTGTTACAAATAAAGTCCGACGTAACAACTCGGATCGCCGGGGGGAGGGGTCATTGGTATTGGCCGAGGAGCCGCTGCAGACAGGCCGCCCAATGTTATTGTACCTTTCCTCGCTGAGGCATGCGAGCTCTGCCGGGCGAAAGGTAAAGGCATGTATCTTATGGGTGATTCTAGTTTTTCGTTCTCGTTAACGTACTAGTGGCGGCTCTTGCTAGGCTGTACAACCCTCAGATAATCGAATAAATCATAATATCTTAGGAATATATATATATATATATATATATATATATATATATATATATATATATATATATATATATATATATATATATATATATATATTCCTAAGATATAAGAACATCCCATTTAATGACATCCAATATTGAAGATATTGTATCAATATCGATGTATATGAAATCATTTTAAAATCAATGAGCATCCAACCGGCGCTCTGTCTGACGTTTCGTGACTCCCGGGTTTGTACCATGCTCTTGGATCCGTCTGGGTTTACTGCATTTATTTTTTGGCTCTTCGCTTTAACACTGGTGAACAAACTGCGTTTGCTGAAGTAACCAAATGGGTGAGGGATCTTGCCGCCGAGCGCTGCGGGGCTAACGAGGCAGTTCAAGGGGAATACCAATATTCTGACATCGTCTGGCTAGCTGCAACGTAATTTTATGAATTTCGAATGTTATTGAAAGTAAACATGTTCAGTCAATTATTCACGGATTCAATGCATTGTTTCTTATATTTGGATACTTTCTTTCTTTACATATTAGTTTTGTTGATTTAAAACGTACATTTGATGAGTTCAAAGTCGGCTGTTTTTAATGGAATCCCTTTGTCTCGCGGAAGCCAGTCCGCCAGCAGTTTGTGAACGTTCTAGTGCATACGAATGTGTGTAGAAGATCTTTAATTACTGCAATATATACCAGGATAGTGAAGTTTTCGAAATATTATCGTTTTATTTGTTTAAAATGTGTCCAAACAATAGTGCTTGTGCAACACTGAAAAAAGGGGAGAAATATTTGTGTGGGAGGTGAATGTACCTGACACGGATATTACGCGTAAAATATGTATGTAATATGTTAAAACAGATTGTATTAAATTTAGTTTTAAATAATTAATACGGATTGCTGTATTATATATTAGTGTGGATTTTGAAAATTTCATTTCCTTCATTCGATGGAGCTGTAAACTCCAGTTTGTACGGGCACAAGCCGCTACTGATACTTATGAATATTCTGTAATGCTTATTTGCTCTGTCAAATTGTGACGGTAGCAAGAAATAGTCAATGGGTGTGGGTTCATTCTCTGAACCTCGTTTCAACTTTCGATACTCATGTATTTACCACAGCTACTGCGTTAAATGTAACCCGACTATACGCTCTTTGGTAAAAATGCTGTGATTTTTTCATATTGGTTAATTTAACTTTAACTGGCCCATACCTCATATCAATTGGGTTGGATTGTCCATGTAGTAATTAATAAGATATAATTTAGATTAGTTAAAATATAATTTACTATACTAAAGTGAATGTGGATACATTTGGCCGAAACTCACAACGCGCTTTGTTTATTTAACATTCACTTATTACTACTACAACTACTACACTGTTTACTTATCTCTTGTTTCTTGGAAATGCTGTTTACCAATGGCGGACAGTGGGTTCAAAACTTGGGGAGGCCCAGGAAAATTCAGGCACTGATTCATATGATGAAATTGGAAGTCAATGACCTTTGGTTTGCTGGTAGACGTTTTGGAAGCATTTCAAATGAAGAATTAGATTTAATATTTTACGTCTTAACATTTTTGCGAAAATGGGTCTTCCAAAAAAGATGTTAATGTATCCAATAAAATACTGAGTCTGTCACAGTGTTACCCATGGCAACCACAAGTTCCCACTGCCTGTGACCGCCACACGCCTTCACAGGAGGCCAGATCTGCGAGATCCTCCGTGCCCAATCAACTCCAAAGCTAGACAAAACGAAACTACTCTTTTCTTATTGGTTGAGGGACGTTGTTATGGCATCAGGGGAGGCTCGCGTCAATTCGGGCCGTCGTTATCCTGCAGATACAAGCAGTACTTGGTGGTGCTACTTATGTGTAACGCATAAAACTGCTTCTCTACTTCTTGAATTGTAACGCTATTCAAGAAGCATTAAAGAAACTTCTTTCAAATGTTTACTCGCCAGTCGTAAACATTTATGTCAATTTAATAAATTCTAACAATTTTTAAGTTCACTGTATATATATATATATATATATATATATATATATATATATATATATATATATTCAGTGTGTTCTACAGTGAACAGTGGTGCAGTAGGTGAACAGCAGTCTGAAGTCTGAATTGGCAGGTGAGTTGTGAGGTGGACATTGCGGTGAACAGCGGTGCAGTAAGAGAACAGTGGTACAGAGGACTGTGGACAGTACATCGGACAGTGGTAGGTGCATCGGACTGTGCAATAGTGTACAAGAAGTGAACAGTGTAAATAAATAATCAGAACAAGTGAACAGAGTTGTGCGTAAGGAAATAGTCAAGTGAAAAACACAAAGCGTGTGAATCCCAACTATAAATAAATCAAGTACTTAAGTGTATCATTAAGAAACAAAACAAACGTCTTTGTGTGTTTTAATTCTCCACTAAGAAACATACGTACATATATATTATAACGTTTCTCGATGGTAAATTAAAACAACCTCAGGTAATATTTATCAAGTATTCGTAACCAACGCTAAACTAAAAATCTTGTTACATTAATTGCTAAATCTTGCTACACTAAAAATCGTGTCACTTCGTTTTTATTCGTAAACAATGCTAGATTAAAAACACTTGATTATTTACAGATATATTACACAGTCCTTGTGTTCTTCACTTGATTGTTTTTCTTACACACGACTCCGTTCTCTTGATTATTTACTAACACAGTTCACTTCTTCTGATTATTTATTTACACTGTTACTTCTTTTACACTATCGCACAGTCTGATGCACTGCACACGGTCCATTGCGCTGACCAGAATTCCCTGCGCAAACTCAATTCACTACGCAGACCAGGGTCCACTGCACTGCTGTTTGCTGCGATGCACACTTCACAGCTCAGCTTCCACTACAAATTTCAAACTGCTGACTGCTGTTCCCCTACTGCACCACTGTTTACTGCGATGCACATTTCACAGCTCAGCTTCCACTTCAGACAGACTACTGCATACTCACTCTGACGGACTGATTGCTTACTACTTCTACTTCTTACTTGACTGCATACACTGACTCACTCACGGCCGCTTACTGCCTGCCTGCCTGACTCGCGGCCGCCGACAGCGGCGAATTTATACCTGGTCGGCGCCCGCCTCGAGCCATCGGGAACGCGCGCAACATTTCTACGCGATTCGCGAATAGCCCGGAACCGTCCAGTTCGGGGGAAGGAGGGGAGCCGGCAGATGACGCAATCCGCGCAGCGAATTCCGGTATGTGATGCAATATTCGTTACGATATATATATATATATATATATATATATATATATATATATATATATTCGTTACATATATATTAGTGTTGTTAACCAATATTGTGGGGAAGCCTGGCCTCCCATTGCCTCTTCTGAAAATCCACCACTGCTGTTTACATAAATGCCGTTGATATAATGTACCATTGAGTTCTATTTCCTCCAAACCGCCTTTGGTACCTGCTAGCGTGCCCCACCAGCACAGAGCGGGGGGAAAGGTTGGCCGACCCACTGATTTTGTTACGTTCCCCAGCAGGACCTCCCGTGGTTCAAAGCCCAAACATCCATCGCTTAGCTGGCTCAGTTAAAGCCCTTAATTGCGCATATGACGTGAATTATGTGCGATATTAAAAAGTTTTAAAAAGCCATTTTTCTCTATATTTTTTTCTATAAATTACAAAAATGTAATTTTTGTATATGTTTCACAAGTAATTAACATTTGCATTAGCGACAATTTGTTCACATTATTGCATTTATGGGTTCATGTGCTTTGAATGATCTGTTATAAATTTTCTCGAATATTTAAAAAGTTTTCTGTGAAAATGATCTCAAAATAACGCATTGTCAGAAACACTCAAAATTTTTCTTCACACTTTTCGTACGAATAGTGCTAATTGCACTGTTAAATATGACATAAAATTCATTTTGTTGTATTTTGTTTTTTTCAAAAATTACACAAATGTAACAAATTGCACGAATCTCTCATGCTATTAATATACACATTTCCAGCGATTTGTAAAAATGATTGCGTACGTAAGTGGAATTGCTTCAAATAATTTCGAATGACGTCTTTCGAACACTGAAACGATTTCTAGTACGAGAAAGTTTGTGCCATTCCGAAGCACCACTAGTTCCTTTTTGTTTTGGACCCAGAACCTTTCGTGACATCTAAAACAACTAGTGGTGCAACAGAATGGCACAGACTCTCCCGAATTAGTGGTCTATTTCCATTGGTCTTGGCTATCTATTCGGACTTGCCACGTACTTTTGCCAGATTCCATCTATCACCACCCAAAATACATTTTTTAAAATTTTCTTCATTTTTAGGTTTTCTAATAGTAGAACGGAAATATTATTTTAAGAATATTAAAGGACAATAAAACCTGGTCCTCAATGGCATTTTTCTTTGAGACATTATTAGCCGCTTTTAAGAAAATGGCATGAAGCGCTACTGAAAAATCAAAATTTGAAACTCTTTTGACAGAAAATTATTGACTTATAGAAAAACATCATATATAGTCATTTCAAGCACTTCCTGTCACAAATGAAATAGTGTCTACAAATCGCTGTAAATGTGCATATTGACGACGTGCGAAATTTTTTAAAAAAACTTCATTAGTGTGATTTAAAAAAACAACAAAAAATACCATAGGTTGGACTTTACGTCATATTAAAGAGTGCAATTAACACCATTCTTTCGAAAAGTTTGAAAAAAATTGGAGCCTTTTTTTACAGCAAACAATTGAGTTTTCGATAATATTTATCTGACATTATTTAAAGTACGTATATTCATAAATATAATAATGTGAACAAACTGTTGTTAATGTAAATATTAAGAACGTGAGAGACAAGTCAAAAAAATATTTTTTTAAAACAAAAGAATAGAGCAATATGACGTTTATGTTGTGTTTTGCTCGTTGTACGCTGCACCAGTTTGCTCTACGAACCACGCGCCCCCAACACGGACACTTTCTTTGAAAAAGTCAGACCAAAGGTCACTATGTTGCATGGAGAGCAAGAAGTTTTGAGAAACATTTTGAAAGTGGCATAAAGTGACAATTATCATCTGTGAGCTATCATAAATAACATGATAAAGATGTAATTGAAAAAAAAGATGTAATATTTAAAAAAAAGTGATGCATATTTCAGTTTTAATGACTTGGTGATAATTTTGGCATTTAAAATTCCCGCCAATATTTGGGAAGCAAACTACTCCCTGAAGCTCAAGTTTTGGCTGAAATCGGATACGATGCGCAAGAGCCCACCCATTGAATTTGTGGGCTCCGATCTCAATTCCACCTTGCTTCGAGGTGCAAAAACTCTCAAAACATGGATGTTTTTGCCATATCTAGTTGTTATCACCATGGTTGTTACTCTTTTATTGTACCAAGGAATTTGGGAAGGAATCTTTCCACCATGGAGTAAACTGGACAATACACGTGCTTGCTCAGGTCGAGCGAGGACGAGATGCGCATGTTTGCGCCTGTTGATTTACGCCAGATTCACACGTTCACCCTGGTTCACATGAAGACATTACTTACACGTGCTTGTTGATTTGTACTTAGTGCGTGTGAATTAATTAGTTGTAGATAATATACATCATGAAGTTGTAGTGTTGTTTACCTATATTAATATTTTCTGTAGAAAATTATTGAAAACTGCGTGCCAATGAAGTGTTTTGGAGTGTTCGATGGAGTGAAGTGTAGTGTCAAGAATTTTTAAATTACGTTTCTCAATTTTTTCACTTGCAATTCCAATAATTGTGGAACAATGGCAAAATCCTTTAATGCGTTTAGTACTCGCTCCGTGAAGCACTTGGACCCAACGAGTGTGGAGTTTACTGTGTATCATCCAGATGAAATTAAGGAAATGAGTGTGGTTAAAGTCAGTGTGCCAGTTTCATTTAATGCTTTGGGTCTTCCAATGAAAGGAGGCTTATACGATCCTGTCATGGGCCCTCTGGGCGATCGTGGGGAAATATGTGCTACGTGCCGGGGCTCGTTTTTTACGTGCCCTGGTCATTTTGGACATATAGAGTTGCCGGTGCCAGTGTTCAACCCATTCTTCATGAAGACTGTTTATTCCGTTTTGCGACTTGCGTGTTTGAACTGCCATGAATTGCAGGTTGTTTTTTTAATTTTTTAAAAAATAAATTAGTAGGAAGTATGCTTCATAACTTGAATGACATTATGATCGTATCGTTCATGGACTGCAATGCTGACACAACTTGAAAAGTATGAATTGTGAGATATAACCATTATTTTATAATATTTTATGATAATGATTATTAACGGAACTTCCATGAAGCCCGTTAATAGTGCTCAGTTCATCCATGAATTAAAAATATGATACCTATGTTTCAATAACCAGTGAAAACTTTGCACAGGTTTATTTAAAAACTTCACGATTTTGATTGTGTCAGTAATACAGCCCATGAACAAGATATTGAAAATTCAGTTCAACTTTTATCTGAATTGAAATGATAGAAAAAGACCACAGAATATCGATATGCTACCTAGCTTTGTGGATTGGTTTTAGGAAGGATTATTAGAATAGGATGAAGAAAAATTGTTTGACTCTTGAATTGTTTCATGAATAATATTTAAATCCTGTCCAACCTTTTTTTGCCATCAACTTTAATTACATACAAACCTGAAGTCATTCATGATTTGAATCATTTGAAGAACAGTAAGTCTACAGTGGAAGGTCCAATTTTCACATAAGTCTGAAAAAATCCTGATAGAAATGTAGTCTGCAACTATGTGAAGTCTAATGATAAAACTAAGTAGAAAGAAACTCTCATCAGTAAGGAGTATGAAACAAAACCTGAAATAACATTCTGTTACTTGTAATTTGCTGCCCTGAATGTCAGTGGATGAGAATATCTTTCTCAAAGTCCAGTGTAGGGTGATGTTTTTCATTTTGCCTAATAAATTTGTTAAAGACAAGATAAAAAAAAAAAAAAAAAAAGCGTATGACAGTGATGAAAATTTTAGTGCAAAATGTGAGGATTGGCAGCCTTTGAAGCTACCCTTCATATTATTTGCGCAACTTCTCTTGAATTCTTGAACGGTGGATTGAAGAAATGCGGGTAGAGTGGGGGTATTAGTTTCGTAATCAGCTACTAGATTTTATGAAGCAATGCTCTTGAGAATCAGTCATGCATTCGTAACGTTCTCAATAATTTGCACTCTTAACTTTTTCAGGAGTTTCATGTATGTTCCGTGATGTATCTTCACCTGCTTTGGTCATTTCTGTAGATTTTTTGAAGAAAACTGAAAGTTCTTGTCTTCAACAGAAAGTAGTTTCTATTTTGCGCCAGTGAGGATGTGTTTGGAATGTTGTTAAGCTTTTGCCTTCATCTGTTTATTGTGCCAGAGAGGGGGAAGCAAGGTCATCGTTCGAGAAAAGTTGCCCGAGTAATGCCTTTTAATGATGCAGATACAATTTTTAGATATTTATTGGAAAACAAACATCAGTGAGTAGGTGGACTCTGTAGCCAACCGCATGGAAATATCCTATGTTAAAGATATGTCTATTAAAGGAAGACTGAAAGAACTACTGGCATGTTTTGTGTCTGGAAGGCATATCATGTTTTGAAATTTTTCTATCATTAGGCCTCAAATATTACATGTTATTTATTTATATTGTTGTTGTTGTTGTTATTATATTCTTATTCTTCTTCTTCTTATTATTATTATTATTATTATTATTATTATTATTATTATTTAAACTTTATTGTTTTTATTGACATTAATCTACAATTGAAGAAGAAAAAGTATTTGTACATTGAAATATCACTTCTTGGAAATCGAGTAGTTCACCAGTTCACCACCAACTTAGGTGGCTCAGGGCATCAACTGATATTAATGCTGTGCTTCTAACTGGGAGGTCCTAGGGTTCGATTTCTGATGGTAGCAAGATTTTTGACACCAGCTGGATAGTTAGGTTGAATTCAACTGTTGTCTGGAGGAGAATTCTAGTGGCCAGCTGCTTTGGTTGGTTTCTCCTGTCAACACCAGGTGGTGTCAAACCCTAACAAAATAGCCACGGACCATGTGCAACCTTTCCTTTCTCTTTCTTGCCCTCTCTTCACACGTACACTCACATTCTGGACTCTAACACACATGTTGGAAGCTTAGAGCAGGGTTGTCCAACAAGCAGCTGCAAAGTGTTTTTAGTAAAATTTGAAAGCCCCTTGCACCCATGTCTGGCGACAACATTGTGTGTCTATTGCACATGCTCTGTGCAGGTCATCATCCCCTTAATTAAAAATTAGGTAAAGTTGAGTTCTGAGGATTTTTTAAAATTAATTCAAATATTTTAAATCATCAGACTGTGTTATACTGCATTTTGCATTGTACAACCTGATATAACACGTGGATCCATTCCCCCCTCTTCCTGTTTCAGAGCAGCTGGGTAAGTGGCGAGATCAACAGCACAGGGAAGTCAGGGGTGAATTGCCAGAGAAATGAAAATGTGTATCGCATACATATTAAAGGATGTAGTTGTGACCCTTGAGGTCCTTGCTAGTTGGACACCCCTAGCTTAGAGCTTGTCTTGGCTGGCTTAGAGCTTGTTCGTACAGGTGGGAGATACCTATTTGGGGAAAACCTCGCTAGCCAACATGTAGGTCAATGCTAGATGTCACAATCCAGTGGGGGAAGCAGCTGGTTCCGTAGGAAAATACATTCACTACACTCCCGGATTAATGTCCTAATGCTTGGAATCACGAAATAATGAAAACACCAGATGATCAACATGAATATCACTTCAATGGTCAATACTCAATTCTACGCACGTAATGATGTTCCTTGTGACTGGTCAAATTCTGCACAACTCACACTGCTCCTGCATGTCTGCATGTGATGAAGATTTTGGCACGAATGAGCTCTTTTCTTAGGAAGCAGACCTTAGCATCTTTCACAAAACAAAGCTCCAAGAAAACGGGAGTGTATTTCCACCTTTCACAGAAGAACCGAGTCATTTCTGGAAATAACCTTCTCTTGCAGTCTTTGTAGAGGGTGCTTGAGGGTCGCCGTGCTCATCACAAGAAAAAATTTGTTGTTTTGACATTTGACTCCAAAGTTGTGTGGGTGTGAGGGGAATTTCTCAGGAATTCTGAAATTATAGGCGGGATACCCTTATCAGCAAGTCTCTTACATAAGGGAAGAAAATGCCCATAATTTATATTGGCGACATGTCTCTTATAAGCGGGTTATATTGGGGTTCAACATAAATTGCTATTATTATTATTATTATTATTATTATTATTATTATTATTATTATTATTATTATTATTATTTGTAAATTTGAATAAATAAGAGAAAGAATTTTCCTCTTTTAATTATATCATAATTTAAGTATTAATGTATAATTTAAGTATTATGTTGATACATTTGTATTTTTTAGAGGAAAATAAGTGTAATGTGTAGACAAGAATTTTCTTCCTCTGTTCTAGATATTAGGAGAGCATCGATATCTTCTTATTGGTCAACTTCAGCTACTGGATGCAGGACATGTGGTGGAAGCTCAAGAACTCGCAGAGAAATTGATTTCCATTAATTCTTCTCGTTCAGATGTTGGTGAAGCAGCTGCTTCAGCATTCGCCAAAGAAAGTGTTAAGAATTATATAGATAAAGTATGTTTTTTACATTTTGAAATTGTAGTTTAATTAAATTTCTTGCATTTTAATCCTTGAATTAAGTAAGCAACATTGATCAAATACATTTTCAAATCAACTATATTTACAAAATGGAAAAGACGGAGATGTATGTGTGATTTAAAAAAACAAAATTGCTTCTAACCTTTATGCTTAATTAGCTCTGTTTGAATTTGGTTATTATTTTTGTTTCATTATCTACATCAGGTTGTCAAAATATGCTTGCATGAGTTACCTATCTACCTTCCTACCTGCCTGCCTGAAAGACAATGTTTTTGTGCAGGTGCAGGTGATGTCTTTTAACTCTACTTAGTTTCCTCTCCAAATCTAGAAAGGGCAGAATATTCACTAGTACAGTTATTCTGCTAGTACAGTTTCATCTGTAAAGGAGTTATAACAAGCTGTAGAGGGAAGGAAAAACAAGGCTTGTTCAAAATATCAATTTTTAAGCCGCTGTCACAATTGTGAATCACAACAAATGTAAATTTCTTTTAAAGAAAATCAGCATAGTGAGCCTGTATGATATACTATATTATTTTTATACTTATAAAACAATAATGAGAGGATAGACAAGTAATTTTTTCTAATATCTATAATAAGGGTTCCAACAATGCTGGGCACTTTTAAATCAAAAAAATTACCAAAAAATGTATCGATTTAAATAAAGAATTATATTTATTGTATATTTTATAAAGAACAATTAAAACTTTGATGTTTAAATACAAGGAAAATATACCCAGAAAAATAAAAATTAAATATTAGAAAGAAGGTGAGGAATAGTAGAGAAGAATATATTTTTAAAAATTCCCAGTTAGTGCAGTCTAAGTGTGTGTTGAAATTAACTGTTGCAAAATAGAATGGTGTACATTCGTGTCATTTTCAAGTGATGAAAAAGATGCTGTAATTTGTTATTTCTTTAAACTGGATTATTAAAAAACTCAAAATGCGTATTCATTTGGACTAATTATTTCTTTTTCTCGCAAGAGAAGGTATTTAAAGGACAGAACCAATGATTGTGACACAATAATTGTTGTAAATCAAAAAAAATTTTATGAGATATTAATACGTTTATTATTATTAGCAACATGTTGCCTTGATTTATATATAAATGTATTCCAGGAAGATTTTACTGGTCCATGGTTTTTTAGTTATTTTATAAAAGTACGTGAAACCTTTAATATCTCAGAACTAGGTCAATGTGGAGTAACCCCATTGTTCTACTGAGCTGTTCAATTTGTTGACTCGTTTTTCAGATATCTAAAAATTTTACCTAGTGTGAATATTTAATTTTCACAAATCTGATCGAAAATCAGAAATGCTCTCGAGAATAGAAAAGGCTGCTAAATTACTTTTTATCTACAGACAATTAAATGCTGGAAAGAAACTAATCATTCATCTGAATCTATTATCATATTACTCTACTACAAATTGTTTATAGTTCTTTGTTTCATAAGTTTGTTAATATTATTGCATATTATCCTTTTACCTTTCCTATTCCAAACTCCTTATTCTTCTACTGCAAATTAACTGTCACATCACATAGAGGATGTATCTACAATAATTCAGTGAACATTTGTAAACAACAGGATCAGCAAAATTAATATTTAAATTCTTACAGGTACTTGGAGAACACAATACGAAAATGCTTGGTGCAGAAGAATCAAAAAATGTGGAAATTCTACGTGCACAGTTTTTAGCAATGGCCAAAGAGCAGTTCAAACAAAAAAAATTCTGCCTAAATTGTAAGAAGCCAATTGCAAAAATCACTTTAATCTACAACAGATTAATGACTGTACATAATAAAATAGTAAATGATAAGGTTAGTTGATGTATAGTTCTTTTTTTAAATTTTTAATTAATTAATTTATTTAACAGGTTATTTAATATACAAAATAACATAATATATCAAGAATATATTACTTTATTTCATGAAGAATTTCTTCATGTGTATGCACCTCTATGCAAATGCACACTATTTATCTTATTTAAGTTACTATTTTCTACAAAAGGAAAAATAATAAGATATTACAAAGGATAAGCAAAAAATAAAAAAAGTAATAAAGTGCTGATTTAAATACAAAATTGATTACTAGTACATACCAAACCAAGTGGTGGCTGTGGGCGCATGTGTGGGTGGGTTTGTGTGTGTGGGGGTGAGGGTCCACGTGTAAGTGGGGGGCGTGTGCACGCAATTGTGCGTGTATGCGTGTGTGTGTGTGAGGGTGTGCGCGCGTGTTTTTGTGTGTGCACGTGTGTATTTTTTTTCTACTGCCGGTAATGATCACCACTCTAATACCAAATGATCACAGTGGCAATACCTACACAAAACATTCTGTATGCTTATCGTGATAAAATACTTGTAACAATTTCATATAACTGATAACTTGGTCTTGGATAGCACCTCATCATTCTTATAAACAAGCAAGCATTCGAGTAGGTTTATCCACAAATAGCCGATTCAATGCTTGGACATGTTTGTCATGAAGGGTCTTCTGCAACAAATTCAGTAGTTATTGATATTCTCTCTAGATTCTCATTGACTTCATTTGTACTTTGTTAAGAAAGTGCCACTGCTTGTGACGCAAGAGGACTGTTTTGCAACCTTTTCTGTTGCACTATCCAGTACAAAATAACATTTTTAACGTGTGTTTTCTATTATATTTTTATGGAAGTTCTTGTTTGAAATCACTAAAACATTGTCATGAGATAAATTATAATTCATAAAAAATGTGGATGATTGACCGGTGATAAGTATAATACTAATGAAATAATTTGATACTTCTTTTTCAGATTGTAAGTAGCTCTGCCAGTTTTATTACCCCTGATGAAGCTCGAAATCATCTGCGTGCTTTGTGGACTGAGGGTTCTGACTTTATCATGGTGCTGGCTCCTGTACTTCGGAGAATCAAATCGCAGTATCCTACAGATGTATTTTTTGTGGAAATTGTTCCTGTACCACCCCCAAAAGTTCGGCCTGTAAATTTTGTTAAAGGCAAGATGAATGAACATCCTCAGACAATAGTGTTCCAGCAGGTGAGAATATGAAAATAAGAAAGAAATGCTAATAATTATTTTGTTTATATTTTTTCATTCTTTTATCTAATATATTGTATTATTATTATTATTATTATTATTATTATTATTATTATTATTATTATTATTAATATTAATTTGTTTGGAGATTAGACCTAATCAGTTTAAAAAAACACTAGTAAAACTTAACTAAAATATTAAAAATTTACATTAGATTGCTGATGCTGGTGTAAGAGCAATTTCATTGGGCCTGAAGAACTTACATTGTCGTGCACGATGCTTAATGCTTAACTTGCCTGATTTTTTAGTCTCTTGAGAAAAGATGGCATCCCTTGTAGTATATTCCCTCTCACTTACATTATCTGTTATTCTTGTAGAGGATTCGTTTCATTCCCATGAGATTCGACATCTTTTGGGAGTGCAATATTGTTGAAAGTTGAGATATATCAAGTTCTCAAGTCAGACCGAAGACATAACTATTGTTTTTTACAAATTCAGTTTTATTAATAAAAAGTGCCCACTGTAAATATATGAATTATTGCTGGATGCTGTAAATTAAGTTCTTTGAAAGATTTTCATGGGAATGGTGGATTAATGTTAGAAAATAGTGAAGTAAAAAATAAATTGTGACCTAGAAATTCAAGAAAAATCCCAAGTGTAGTAAAGAGGAGAAACATGTGAAGTATCCGTTACTATGTTAAGTTAACAGTAGACCATGATGTCAAATAGCTTTTACTTAATACTGTATTTACCCGAATATGACTTGTCTGTTGGATTTGGTCAATGTTTATTGTATTACATCAATATAAACAAAAGTAAATCAAAACAAAATTAATTGCAGTTGCTGTGAATGTATGAAATACATTATGAGATTCTATAAAGAAACAACCAATTGTACTTCGGTTTTATTTGTACTTTCAGTTGTATTTCGGTTTAATAAAATGTTAATGTTATGTACTGCCAATTCTATTAATCAGTACCATAGCTAGCATTTCATTTTTCAGAGCACCAAAAGAAACAAAATGACAAACCTCCAATAATTATTTGCGTTTGATTTGTAGAGTGTAAATATTCACAATAAATGTCAAACAAAATCCAACCTAATCTTTAAATTTACTCATTGTGCTGATTTTATTGGCAACTCATTCCACAAATTATTTTCAGCCAACATTTTGTGGTGACTTTATCCCTTTTGCCTCTTAATTAGCTTCTCACAAAAGTGCTACTAATCAGTTTTTCAGCATACTTTTAAATACAATTCACTACTAGTGGGGTATATAGAGTGTATGAGAAATTACTTCTTTAAGTTATGAATATTTACTGAAGGGGAGATTATAATCTTATTATTAAAAAAGAAATTAACATTAATTATTCACCTTAATGTTTATCTCAGGTCTTGGAACATAGCATTGTTACACGTCAGGCAGCACATATTGTAAATGGCGGCACAGCTGATCAGTTAAGTGAGGAAGGTCAGCAATTGTACCAGACTATGCCAGGTGCGTCACCAATAGAGAAACTCCATAATGCTTGGCAAAGTCTTCAGGCAGCTGTTGGTCATCTTGTAGATGCAGAACTCAATAATACACGAAGGAACACAGCGAATGCACCTGCAGGTCTTAAGCAGGTAAGTTGTAGAGATTGGCCAATTTTAACAATATTGAATATCATATCAATGGTCTTTGATTTGTGAAGGTGTTTACGTTGTTGTGAAATATTAAGTTGGTGTAGTAGAAACATTAGATTTTGTAAGCATCAAATTTTGTTGGATTTTGTAGTCAGTACCAAATCTAGAGAGTGTATTTCTAATGTTTTTGTTTGTTTGTTTCTTCTTTTTTTCTTTTTTCTCTCTTGAATATTGATTGTTTATGTTTAATTCACCCATTTCTTCCCAGAGCATTAAAATACCTAATCAATTTCATTAATTTCAATTAAACATTAATAATATCTTCCCAATGATAGCAAAACCAGTTTCCTAACTGGTATATTTTGATAGTTACACAAAGCTGGTTCGAATGTTGCAAATATGCAACGCTAATTTTTTTGGAGAAAAAGTGTACTTATTGTTTTTTTTGAATAAATATTTGTATTTTCTCAACTAATGTCCACTAATTACACCAGCATGCAAGAAGAATAATGAACCTATAAAAAAAGTGTATGGGGTAACAAGCAAACACACTTTAAATGTATTTGACAGTATCTTACAATAAAAAATTGTCTGTTATTTGTGGACTTTGTTATCTGCATGCATTCTTATCACCACTAATTTTATAATTATTATGGGTCTTTTGCCTGTCTCTTAAAATCTCGTTATAGTGCCTTAAATTGCAATTTGGGTTTCCAGAATCCATATTGTCATTAGTAGGCCCCCTGACTTCTCTGAGAAAGTACTACTTAGGATTCAAAATCAACCTGACTTGGAAGTATTTCCTGTTGCTGAAGTGTATATACTCCATGCTAATCAAGTCCTCTAAAACATCAAAATCTCATTGTGCTACTCAGTGATGTATTCATAGACAACTTTTTTGGTTTGACGCAAACAGTCGAATGCTCTATTTTCTCAGTTGTTTCATTTTCATTTCGGTTCCATTTCTGGTGAATGGTAAGAAAGAGTGTGATTCTTGTAGAAGTTTGACAAAGACCAGACTCATCCTGATTTTCTTTAACAATGTGTCAAACTGCAAATTTCACCTTTACCTAAGGACAAACATTCATGTCGTCTTTCATACTCTACACCATTAAAAAAAAATGGTTTCAAAAATTATTTTGTGTCCGTGTTGATGTGCACTTGAGCCAAATCCCACTAGTGCCACTTACTTTAGCTAATATCATGTATGAAACTTATCTACTCATCAGTATTAATAATATCTAAATAAACTCGCTAAATTGCAAATGTTTTTTTTTTTTTTATTTGACATAATATGAGTGTAATCGGAAACAGTAATTACAGGACTACATGCAACTTAAGTCTAACATCATTGTGGTAAAAGCAACTATAGGAATATAATTATGAGGATAGAACATTTAAAGAATTATTACCTATATTATTAAGCTATTAGTTAATATTTAAAGTTTGAGAGGAGATGGAATCAACACAATTATCTACAACATATACATTGCTATGTAAAAACTTATTAGGTGATTCCATCATTTTAAATACAATTGCTTTGTACAATTGATGATTGTTAGTTATTTGATTGTAGAACTGTCTGTGGGAATGACTATTGTGCATGGGAACTGAGAACCAACTCGTGACAGAAATTGTGGACATTGTATTATGCTTCTAACTAGTTTTATCAGAAAAATGATTTTGTTCAAATGCCTCCTTCTCTCAAGACTTTGTAGATTGAATTGTGTTTAGAGATAAACATTGCCAATTTCCCGTGGTGGATATCTTCCCAAATTTTTAAATTATAAATATTGTGCAAACTTCCATAGACAAGCCTGAAGCAACCCTATTTTGTCTGGAGTCCAAATGACTGATTCATCAGTAAATATCCCAAAATTTATTGGCAGAATGTAGGATTGATTCTACATTAGGTTTATAGGTTAATTGCCTGTGAAACAAAACACTTGGGTCTTTCTTCAATTTAACACTTTCAAGAATCATTTTCATTGTATGAATAGATGATGTGCTATCCTGAAAAAACTCATAATTTGGCATTTATCAGTATTAAATACTAGCGTATTTTGGATACCCCTTAAAGAAAAGTCTTTCATTTGCTTCATCAGAAAGTAGGCTTGTTTTTTCAAACTTATGTTCTTTATCTAAGGTATTATTGACCCAAATGTGTAGATATGTTTATTTCATCTAACTTGTTTTGAGAATGTGTTTCTTGCACAATCGGAATCTATGGAACTCCATGCAAACAGTTTCAGAAGCACAACTGTGTCATGCCTTGTTCAAGTGCCGAGAAAACTTCTGAGATTATATTCTTTGGCCAGCAATGTTATTTGTACATATTATATTTTTGCAGTATGATGACTAAGTAGTCATCTATGTCACCAATTTCAAGATCAAAAGTTAGAGCTTACCCTTTAAAGCCTAGCGGTACATTTCTCTACAACCATATCATACTCAATTATTCTGCTTCATAGATTCTTGGTAGATTTTTTCTTTACGTTGTTTCCTGCAATCTAGAAACATCAGTTTAGTTTGTTGATTTGATATTACAGGTTTCAAACTGTATTATTTGTTTTCAATGGCATTAGAAAGTTGCCATGGAAAGAGAAATGTGCTCTTAATTATTCAATAATTGTAATTAACATCTAATATTTAGTAAGATAACTTCTATATTACATAAGTAACTAATTGTGAACAAATTATTAGGGTTTTGAAAATTTCTGGTACATGTTAGGGTCCACTACCTTTTAACCTTTTCTATAAATAAACTGTTAACCACTGAATTGGCATGAAGTAGATGATGTTAGAGGCGAGTGTGGAAGTGAGAGTGGGAGCAGTGGCGAGGGCGGGGGTGGAGGTGCGAAAGCGGTGATGAAGGCGAGGTCGGAACCAGGGGGAGGTGCGGAGCGGATGTTAAGGGACGGTGGCGAGGGCTGGGAGCAGACTGGGCAGAGATGGCGCGTGGGCAAAGACTGGCATGGACTGGGGGTGCTGAGCGGGGCCAAGGGCATAGGCGAGGATGAAGGGGTGGCGGAGATGGTCTATGGAAGGAAACATGTCCGGAAACGAGAGAAATCCGAGGGTGGTGTCGATGGCATAGGTGGGAGTGGGAGAGAGGATGGAGGCAAGGGCCGACGCGATGGCTTTGGCATAGGTCTGGGTGGAGGTGAGGACAGGGATGGTGGCATGGTGCAGGCTGAACCATGGATGGAAGCGCGGGTGGAGGCAGGGACGGCAGTGAGTGCCCAAGAAGGGACAGGGCCGAAGGCAGAGGTAAGGATGAATGCGTGGGTGGGAGCGGGAATGGAGGCCTAAGCACAGGTGGAGGCAAGAGCTGGGCAGAAACGAGGTAGAAGGCAAAGTTGTAGACATAGGTGGAGTCAGATCATGAGATTGGCCAGAGGTGATGGCAGTGGAGTTGTTGGGGCCGAGGATGAAGGAAAGGGTGGATACGAGAGTGGAGATGAGGAGGGGTAGATGAGGGTGTGTGGGCAGCAGGAGGAAATATTGTACCATGTTTACTCCTCCGTGCTATATAAGAACATTATTTCAAGTGTTTCACAAAATGGCAGTGTAAGAGCCTTGCAGTACATTAATGAGCCAGGCCATAATTTATGAATGAGAACAAAAAATAAAATAAAAATATTTCATCTATGCCACTAAATAAAATGATTAAACATCTAATTAAACAATTTTGCAAAAATATTAATTACGGCTGTAAAGGGTTAAAATAAAAATTAAAAAAAAGATGGGTTCTTGATATTTTCAATACCTTAATACCCTTGATACTCAGGTGGTATCAATAGCGATTGATAATTTTTTCGATACTTTCAATTTTCTATGCCATTCCCCATCTCTAATTTTACAGAATAATTTTCATCTCCACATACCCTCTCTCCTATTTTTCTTTTGTCACCAACAAGAAAGTGTCGGGAAGTTCACAAACAATTGTTGAACTAGCCAACTCAGCAACACTGTCAGCTTAGGAGCAGACAATATAAAAAGCAACCGTCAGGGACAGCACTAAACGACTCGGTTCCTACGGAAAGAAGGCGTGACCACTGCAGAAATTCATCGGTGCTTGATGACAGTCTATGGGGAATATGCGCCATCTTTGAAGGCAGTGTACAATTGGGTGGAAGGTTGAAAATTGGTGCACATTGATGGACAAGAGGCCCAAGGGAACCAGTCCCGGAAGGAATGTGACAGTGTCAATACTAGCGAATGTTGCCAGGGTTGCGTAGGCCATCCAAGGAAACAAATGCATCACATTAACCGAAATGGAGGCAGGCATGACAATTAGCCGAAACACCCTGCAGCGGATTTAGTCCGGCCAGTTACAGTTGGAAAAATGTGTCATCCAAGTGGGTGCCCAGACAGTGTCTGCAGACCACAAGCAGAGGTGTATTGACGTGTGCCAAAAACCTTTGCAATGCCATGACCAAGATTCAGCCAATTTCATGGCTATGACATTGCTCCATTACCATGAGCCACTAACAGAACTACAATCGATGCAATGGAAGCGTAGGGGCAGTCCGCTGCTACAGAAATGTCAAAGAGTGTCATCAGTTGGCCAGTGAATGGCGACAGTATTCTTGGACACAAATGTTTATACGTATATATGTATGTATATGTCATTTATTGTTAAAAGGTATGAATTGTAACTATAGTATAATAATACAAAGACAAAACGCTTACCCAAATGGCAAATTTTTTATTTTTTATACTGAAAGTTTGAATTTTATTAAAGAGCTATCATTGTACATAAGCCAATTAGTGAATAATGGAAAACAATTTTATTGAACTGAACATTTTTTTCATGAGTATTTTTAATAATGTCTCCCTCTATTATTTACATTTATTCTAGCACATCATTATTTTAGCATTTATTCTAGGGGTCACCAATCAAAAACAATGGGAATTGAATTCCTGTCATTCCATCAAGTAGTCTAGGACTTCCCTTGCAGCCATCTGAAAATTTTATGAAAATTTGTGTACTGACTGTTTGGTTGAAAATTTGTGAAAAATTTTATATATCTCAAAGGAACATTTGTGTAATTTTAGCTTTGTAGGTGGAATATTTTTGAGGAATTTAACTGATTGTTTTTACTTGAATTTTGAAGTATACAACCATAAACACTGGTGTTTTTATTGGCTACTATATTTTTCCTCAGTCTTTTTAGAAACTTGAAAACAACTCTTTGTAATGAGTTAGGTTTGAAAGAATTTGTAGAAAGTAGTTTTGGAAAAGTAAACTGAAACACCATATTTTGGAACATTTTTCCAAAAACCTGAATTTTAAACTTAATTTATGAAAAAATGATGAAGAGCTAGAAGGATGAAATTATGTATTCAAAAACCATGTAATGTTGTTATGTCCAATGTTAAATTTGGAATTTTTTTAACACGTAATATTTTTGGCAACTTTGCAGCTATGTCTTTTGTACATGTGCAAAATTTATATTAGTTTCATTGAGTAGAAAATTGAATATAAGTAAGCTCAGTTTTATTTGTTTGGTATTAACAGAGAAGAAAATATCGTATCCCGAAATGGCAAAAATGTTAAAGTTGCTGTTTTTAAACATGCTGCATGGGTTCAAACAAATTTCTACAAGTCAAAAACTATTTCTCCTATGAAGCTACAACTTCTACCATATATACTATATATGGTATTTTATTCCTTCAGAGGTTCAGATAACAATTTTTTTTCTTGCAGGTAATAAGTAAGAAAGAAGGACTAATACGCATGCATATGATGGGAAAACGAGTCAATTTTGCAGCACGCACTGTAATAACTCCTGACCCAAACTTAGGAGTTGATGAAATTGGAATTCCAGAAGCTTTTGCAAAAGTACTTACATACCCTACTCCAGTGACCCCATGGAATGTGGATGATCTTAGACAAGCTGTACTTAATGGTCCTAATATTTACCCTGGTGCAACAATGGTTCAGAATGAAGATGGTTCTATCATCAGAGTAAGTAGATTAACATGTAATGGTTTTTGGAAATGTATTAAAACGATTTGATCCCTGATAGCTTTGAAAAGTCCTTGCGACAATTGTGCTATAGGAAAGCTTTCAACCTGTTTCCGCAGTGAGTTGCAATTATAACTTGAGAACCTAGAACTTTCTTTGTATGGAGAGTATATATCAATTATATTATTATGGATTATAAAAGGAAACAACCAAACTCGAGTCAAGCCTGTATGTTAGTTTTTCATTGCGCAAGAATTTGTTATACTGTGTGTGTATATTGTGTGTGTATATTGTAAATTCTGTAGTAATTTTTTGTTGTTGTAGTTGTTGAAGAAGATAAGATATTAATTCGTTGAGCAAATTTTTCTGAAATGGGAAATTCATAAATTTATCCAAGTATTTGATGTATACTTACCTTGGAATAACCATGTAACTCCAATTTTCACTTTTCTTCTGTACGCTACATAATATACTCTTCAAATACACATATCAGGATTAAGATATATGTTCCAAACACAGTTAAGGTTGGTGGAAGTGTATAGGTATTGTGGTGAGTTATCATTGGCATTTCCAATGATATAATTATATGTGTTGTCATTGCCAACAATATTATTTATTAAAAAAGCAGCTTTCGATGGCTCAGTCACACTACCACTACTAGTCGTTTTTGTGGCTTCCATACAGCAGAAAACTGATGATGATGGCTAAGCCATTGAAAGCTGCTTTTTTAATAAATAATGTTGTTGGCAATGACAAAGCATATAATTATTTCATTGGTGGAGGTGGAGAAGTTACCCACAATTTCTTACCTGATGGATGCTTAACTCTGTCAGATTAGAAGCTTTTGAGCTGAAACTTAGTAAATATGTTCCAAAGAGCATTGAGATGTTTGAATGTTTGAGAGTACTATACTTGGAAACCCTGTGATATTTTCAAAATTTTGTGGAAAATGGTTGAATTTTTTTTGCTCAAATAAAAGAAATTGCATTTATAAGTGTAATACTTTTCAGGTTTTCAATACAGTCTCTGATGCAAAACTCTTTATATTTAAATAACTGAGGGTTTTTCTTCTAGAAAGAAGTTTAAGCTTTTTACTCAACTAAATTTCATGATTTTTGCTTTAAGTGAAAGGTAGAGGGCATCTGCTAATTTATTATTTGCTCTTATTAACCTGTTTTGTTGTATACACTAATTTTAATAAAATCGTAAAGTTAATAGAATTGATGCTTACCTGCCATCATTTGTTCATTATTTTAAACTTTAGAGTGCGAGGTTATTGTTAGCGAAGACAAACTAATGTGTTTTGAGTTCGAAGAGTGTTTGGAATTGCAAAAATTAGTAAATATATGTAAAGGCAAGGTCTAGCAATCGTCTGGCACGTGTTCTTTCATAAAAAAATGTCAGTGATTATATTTATTTGTGCTGCGTAATGGTTTTAAGTTCAGATGCATAGGAAGGTATCAGAGCCATAGTACCTTACAACATACATTTTGAGATCCTGGTAAACACAAAATATTCAATTATTTTTTCAGAAACATGTTCAACTCTGGGTCCACAGACAATAGTGATTGCATTTACCTAAATTTGTACACCACCTTCATTTCATTAGTTTTTGAGACTTAATTCTGAATGATTTGAAACAATGGTTTTGAGGTTTCCTATTTTCCATTTGGTAATATATAGAACTCTTCAGCAACATCACACTCACATCACACTCACACAACTATTTTTTGGCATGCATGCTTGTTAAGTCCATAATTTTCAATCCATTTTTCAACCATATTGATTCTTGTGGATTTGATATTTTATGCATAATTTCATTCAGTTGTAGATCTTGTTGTTGCACTTAAAAAAAATAAAAAAAGTCTTTGTATGTAATGAGTAATGAGTAACGATGAGTAATAAGAGTAGGCAGATTAAAAGTTTCGTTTTGCCACAACATGCTCAATAGTTTTGTCTTTAAAATAATGTTCAAAGACTGAATTTCATGCAAGTTCTGTAAACAAAGCATTCAGATTTTGCTTATTTTTTGTGATATTCAATGATTTTATTCATCGATTTATAATAGCTAATAACTAGTTGCCAAATTATTAAAATCATGTAATGGTATATAAAAAAATAAAAATGAATGCATTTCATGTAGAACTTGCATATTGGTCCAGTTTCTACGGATTACACATTTTTTTTCACAATATATATTGATTAATATCACATAATATTTTGCAAAGTGATACTCCTAAGATTGCTGAGTGAAATATTGAGTTTGAATGCAAATTTCAGTGTAAATAAAACATGCAATGTAATTAGGAAAAAAATTCAATGAAAAAATGAGATCAGCACCCAAATATGACATTGCAATGTCTTGAGTTTATATAATAACTTAATATAGAGTTGTTGGAATGTGATAGATTTGTTGCAATGAGACTAGATTTATTATATTTTAGCAACCTGTTTGTTTTAACTAAGTCATAAAACGTATTTTTATTATGTACTAGGTCAGTAAGGAAGCAATTCAGAGAGCCAGTCTTGCCAAACGATTGTTAACACCCAAAGAAAGTGATGGAAAAGTACCATCTATCCCCAAAATCGTGCATCGACATTTACGTAATGGGGATGTTTTATTGCTAAATCGCCAACCTACACTGCACAGGCCCTCCATTATGGCACATCGTGCACGTGTTTTACATGGTGAAAAAACATTCCGATTGCATTATGCAAATTGTAAGTCTTATAATGCTGACTTCGATGGTGATGAGATGAATGCGCATTTTCCACAAAGTGAATTGGCTCGAGCTGAAGCATATTTCCTGGCACAGGTAAGATTTTTTGTGTTCCCCTCACAGACATTCTGTAGTCCACGAATGGGAGAAAAACTGCTAACGCAAATTTTAAAATAGTAATATAGTTAATAGTCACATAATTAACACAATTTGATATTATCAAATAAAAGAATTTTTTTATTGATTGAATTTGCCTTATTTTACGTGGCGAGACTTGGGTCATCAGGCCCGCTCTTCCGTCTGACTACGCAAATTTCGCTACGTTCCTTTCATCAACTAGCAGAGGAAGGAGGTATTTCTTGGGCAAGAAACAGACGATTTGAATTTAGCTCAGAGGCGTCATTTAGGCTTGAGCTTTACATGCAAGTAAATATACTAACCTGGGACAGCCGGCTTTACTTCCCCTCCAAAGGAAAGCGTACGAAGGGTTTTTTCGCCTTTAAAAATTCACGGCTTCGATTGGTTTTGAACCTTATGAACTTGGGTACAACAGTCCGGTATGCTAACTGTTGCACCATTGTCGCAGCAAATTCACATTTATTCACATTTGATTAAGAAAATATAAGACACGTATTGCTTCTAGTGTGTCTATATTTTGTGTCTTATATTTTTGTGTATATATCATTACTCTATGGCCTTGTGTTAGACTTTTTTCTAAATTTAGCAACTTGATTTATCCACTTTTTCCCGGTCCCTGTAATAAGTTTTTCTATCAAAAATTCACTGTTTCTTCACGCAGCATTACATAACTCTCTCTCTACTGCATAAGCAGTAGTGAGAAAGTAAAAAGTGGTTTCGGACTTATTTTCTGCAAACTCCCTGTATTTTTGAAAATTGCAAGAACGTAACATGGCAAAAGTGCAATATTGAAGATGCAGATTATTTATGTAAACATAATCCTTTTAAAAAGTCATACCATTGAGTTGTATGGTGAGGTCATGTACAATTCTTTGAAAAACGAGTATTTCCCCCTTAATTTCTGTTTGAAGTTGGTGTAATTTATAACAAAAATTATTTCTCAAAATGGCTCCAAATTTTATTTAAAAATTTTATCTCCAGAGACAAGGTAGCTTAAAAGAAATGGTACAGGTCTCGTGTTTGTCAAACTCTGAATTTTAGAAAATTGCAAAAGTTTGAAATAATGTGAGAAAGTATATGCTCTTTTAGCAGTTCCAGTTTAACATGGTAACAAATTCTGTCAAATGTTATACAGATGTGGAGATTAGTTTATTGCATATTATATTAAATAGTAATAAATATGTACAACATTTTAATATGCCTTAAGAAAATAAAAAATATACATCTAATTTTTGTATCTAGCTGAGGACATAGTCATGTGCGCGAGACCTGGTAACAGAGAATTTACAATTTTCTCCTAAAATAGTATCACTTCTTCAATAAAGTAATAAATAAGTAATGTAGCATTAAAGCTTTTGTAAATGTGATTATTACCTACATATATAAAACGGAGCCAAAAACGGTTACGAAGTGTGTCCAAGAAGAAATTAGGGAATAATGATGGGTTACAATTGCGTGCAACATATGAAGGGGGACAACACTACATACAGTTACCTTAAATTACAAATAGATTGGGAACTATTGCAGTAGGGGTGTGTAAGAACTACTGCTGTAATGTGTGTACATTTTGCGTATGTTTATTTTCTTTATGCATACAGTTCATTTCAGCCTAAATACAGAATAATATACAGACTTGAGAAAAACATTGATCTGTATAAATCACATAAGCAAAATATTTTACAAAGACATGCATAATTCTTAATCCAAAAATTGGATTTTTATCTCTCTCACAAAATTACATTAACTGTGTAATAAAACATCTCATGTAAAGTATAAATTTGCGAGTCTTGTCGATCTGGAAATTGCTGAATTGTGTACAAATTCACTTTTATGATCACATTAATTCAGTAACAAATTATTTTTAATATTATAAGTTAAATATAATGTATTGTATTATATAAAAATCAAAAATATCTTTGTGTATTGTAAAATGTAGAATGACGTGTGTGATTTTGGCTACAGGTAGGACACCAATACTTGGTTCCAAAGGATGGTACTCCATTGTCCGGGCTGATCCAGGATCACGTTGTGAGTGGAGTGCGATTGACAGTGAGGGGACGCTTTTTTCCTCGAGCTGAGTACTGCACGTTGGTGCAGCAAGCACTTCCCACACTTACAGGCTCCATCAGGCTTTTGCCTCCTTCTATTTTGAAACCTTGCAGCCTTTGGTCAGGCAAACAGGTTGTGTCTACAGTGTTACTGAACTGTATACCTGCTGGAAGGCCTCCACCTACTCTGTGTGATAGTGCCAAAATTCCTGCACGTGCATGGGTGCAAGCAAGTGCTAATCGCCCCTGGCGTGCTGGTGGCACATCACTACGTGGAGATGCACTGTCTGAAGCAGAGGTCAGTGTGCTGAATGCTATGTGAAGTTAAGAAAAAGGTGGTAAACATACGGCAACATAAACTGCCAGGTCATTTTACGGGGAAAAGGACAGTTTCTATTAAGTTTTACAGACATTTTTTGAAACAATGGAAACTGCAATTGGGTTGCTTTAATAAATATATCAATTTTTTTAGAATTTATTAAATAACATGTAATAACTAATTTGTTGAAATTAGCTTGTTCTTTATCTGATAATGTAGGCATATAAAAAGTGGTGAAAGATTTTAGATGTATCATATTAGGCAGTTAAATGAGTCAGTGAAAAATGATTCAATTCAAATCAGTCTTCATGTTAAAATGTAAAATTTTATGATTATGCTTTCCAGAATATTGTTTTAAAGGGAAATTTCTATGTTTGTAAGTATTTTGATTTTGATATATTAATGATAGTGAATAATTTTGGTAATTTTTATTGGCATTTGCCAAAATGCTGTGTATTATGAATTTCATTCAAAAGTAGATTTCTGAAATTTGTGAATTCTGATGTTTAGAATATCAGTTTTGTATCCGTAGAATCAAGTGGAAAGAGGAGTAAGGAAGATTTCTGAAATTTGAGAATTCTGATGTTTAGAATATCAGTTTTGTATCCGTAGAATCAAGTGGAAAGAGGTGTAAGGAAGGAATGTATTTGTTATTATTATTTATTCAAATATTGTATTCACTACTCATTCAAAGAAGATTGGCTTAGTCCCAAAAATATGAGTTCAAGAACTAAGAGTTTAAAATGTGATTTTTCCATATTCTCTTCATTGGCAGGATATCTTACATGCAGAAACTTTATTTTATTATTTTCATTGATAATCAATGCAACATATAGATTCAAACAGCTGTATTCTTAATGTATGGGGGTGATTCAAAAAGTATCAGCAAGCTGAATACTATTACTTTATAAATATATATTTCAACTACAAATATAAAAGGTAACATTTTTTGTCAAAATCTCAATGCAATTCGATACACTTTCCACACTGTGGCCCTAACTGTTTTATTCACTAGAAAAAACCTTTTTAGATTGTTCCTTCTACCAAATATGCTCTACTTTCTTCATGTTGTCATCACTCGGAAATAAATCACCCTTTATAGGTCGAAACATTGAAAATCCAATGGAACAAGAACTGGGCTCTATGGTGGATGTTTTTAGGATATGAATTTACAGTTTTTTAATGATTTCAAGAATTGGAAATGAGTTATAGAGCATTGTGTGAAAGTAAGGAACGCGTCTTAACAGGTTTTCTTTTTGAAACCACTTCATATCGGTGGCTTTATTACCTTGTAACGGTCACTATTGATCGTTTTGTGATCTGCCGTCCGTGCCCCTTTGGAAGTTGATCAGTTACAGCATAGTTTCAGAGAACTGCAGGAAGGGTTATGGTGTTTTGTGGTTTCTTATTGATGCTTTTTTTATGCTTTGAGAGGAGGGGAGGAAGTCGGGATGAGCCAAAAGTTTACGAGTTTGAATATTATTTATTTACTGCATTATGTGGGAGGGACTAGAGAGATATGGGGGAGACATAGAGGGAGGAAGGAGAGAGATGAGAAATGCGCTAGGAAGACGAGGATAGAAGTTGACTTCAATGACGACAGCTGCTTACCACATTGCTCCACCATTCATCCTCTCTCAGTAGGGGTTGCAGGGCAGGGTATATTGCTGACATCATCTTCTTCTGCTCTGCTTTCGACTGGCGTCAAAACAGCCTGGCATCGCTCCTGAGGCAATTGTGATCTGGCTCCCGTCACAACTACCTCTGGTGTGGCTTCTGTCAGAACTGCCTTCTGCAACTTGGGTGGTTCTTTTATATATCATCATGGTAATTGTGGAAATCTTTCTGGAAGCTCTTAGAAAAGAAGGCAGATCTTCAGGGTGATGTCAACATGTTTTCCAAATAGTAACATGGAGACTTCCCGTTCGTTAGAGCTCGAAGCCACATGGCAATGAAATAGTTTGTAGTAATACAGAATATTGCCATTTAAATGATGGCTCATCACAGTTTCACACTGTTCGTAGTAGTGATCCAAAATTGACCCATTAATATGGGAGAAGAGACTGACAATGACCCTACACATGGACAGTTGAGTGGAGACTGCTGAGACAATTCGGACATTACTCATCAATGACTGACATCCAATTCTCTTAAAGGCTTGTGCACTCTTCTTTCTTTAATGCAGTGATTGCTGTACCTTTCTATAATCCTGTGAATTTCTGCAGTTTTCGTGGGCTTTGACCACAAATATATTACAGCTCACTGTTCTTCTGTGGTGCACTTAGCTAAAGACATGGTCATTTTATTTCAACTGCCCTTCTTGTTGCATAGGTTACGTCTTCTGTTGCCTCATGTCTACACATTTTGAAAGCATATACTTTTATGGGAGTTTCTAGTTACCTAACTACCATACCTTTATGGGAGATTCATGTGCCTGAAGTGTTCAATTAGTGTAATATTTTAAATTTGTTGTTACAGTTCAAATCACCTTTGTAAATATAACAATGTAAATAACAATGTGTCTTAAGATGTTCTTCCATATATTTTTTTCTTTCCTTATTTATATTTTTGGTGTTATTTTGGAGACAGATTTTTAACTCATTACATGAGGTACATGTTTAAGATAAACTTAGGAAGTGAAAAAAATTACAAATATATTTGTCGTAATGTATGTTTTTTCTATTTGTAAGAATATGACCCATAATTATGTTAGATACATTTCATTGTCATCATTCATTATCATTTTGCCCAGTTTAATATACATCACTACATTAAAAGCAATACAGTAAAAGGCAAACATAGAACTCCGGAATTAACATTACAGTCACAAATTAGAAAGAGTTATTCAGTAGAAAATACAACAAAAATAACGAATTTGCATGGGAACTGTTTGCGACAAATATAATGAGCAGTTTAATGAACCAACAGCTTCTGTACAACTTGTTCTGTCTTCTATTGTATTTTAACTAAGTCATGTACATGGAAATGTACTGGATATCATAAGAACTGAAAAACAGTTTAACCAGGGTTTATCCTTCTTCCATTGAAATCCTCAACTCTTGTAATTATTGAATTATTTTTGCATACAACATATGATATGCACTATTATCAGATTCAAAAACTCACTTAATATGCTAGCCCAATATTCGCAATAATATATCATCTCCGCAAGATACAAAAGTTGTTATAACTCTTGTCGTAATATAATCAATATCTAAATGTATTCTGTGCTCCAGCATTACACATGACACTTCCAACAGAAATTAATTATACATTATCAGAACATGAATGTAAGATTTAACTGGATGCAGTACAGAAGGCTCTTACTTTCAGTGTTAAAAATATGTCCAGCGATTACCATAATTCTGGCAGATACATTCCAAGCTCTCACACACAGAACACACATCTCTGACCACTCTATGTCCTCGCTGGAACTGTCTTTTCCCTGCAAAACATCTTTTATATTATTGATGTTCCTTGTTCAGGGTGCCACCTATCGGCTAACACTATTACTGTTTTCACCTAACCCTAAACTAACCTACCTATGTATCTTAAAGCTGCTATGTGCAGGCATTCCTGACTTACACTTTACTAAACCTTCTCACTGCCATTTCCACATATATTACTTGTTTGAAATACTTTTTAAGGAGATAAGTCTAAATTGGGTGTTGCATATAAATTTTCCATATTTTCATCATCATCATGAACTGCAGGCATCTAGGTGTGATTCTGTTCCTGTTTGTGCTGGTTCAGTAGACCTAGTAGATTAATCTTCGAGGTGTTCCCGATTTTTCCATCTCTTTAAATGTCTTCCAATATCTCTGTTTCCAATTGGTTTATATTTTCAGATGACTTTTGGTAGGCTGTTACTCCCCATCCTGCAAATGTGTTCTTACCATCTCTTTTGATGTCCTTGTTCCTTAACCTGTCTCTTCTCGTGACTCCTAAGAAGTGCCTTAGGAATGTCATTTATGCTGCCTGTATTTTCCGCTTGTTGTTTCCCCAGTGTCTTGTAGTGGTTTATTTATGGAATAAACGAATCTGCAGTCCTTACATACAAAATATATTGGCACATTGACTTGTAAATAAAAATATATAATGTTACATATTTGATAAAATTACAAAATACTACTCAAATTCTAAAAATAAGTTCTTGGAACACTTTTCAATTTGAAAGTATGATCTACTAAGTAAATCAATTGTCAACTGATTGCATAAATCACTCATTCTTGACATTGTATTATTTGACAAATACAAGAGATTGTAATGTGTGGTCTCAAACATAGTTAACCTCCTAGTATTAACAAGGGGAACTCTGTAGTTAATTCTTTTTAGAAGTAAAGGACAGTCCATATTGCCTGTAATAAGTTTTATGAGAAAAATTGAATTGGCAAAGTTTCTCAGAGATGTAAGTGATGGCACATTCATGTGTTTTGCCAAGGTACTATGTTCATGATCAAAAAAAGGATCAGATGAACGAATTTTCAAGGCCACAATTCTAAAAAACGGGTTGTATTTTCTCAGTCCTTAAGCATTCAAGATTTATGTGTAGAGACCATATAACTGATGGAATCATCAGGACAGGTCTCACAAGTGACATGTAATGAAATTTAAACACTTTCATTGAGTTTAAACCCATGCATGTTCCTCTCACAAATCCCAAGATTTGATTAGCTTTATTGATTATCAGATCAATATGTCCCTTGAATGTTAATTTGAAGTCAACAATTACACCCAAGCCTCATAGAGAATACTTTGGGGATAGTAGCATGTCCAATTGTGTATATAAATTCCATTGATGTTATGGAGCTAGGAAAAATTACTTGTTTACATTTGGAGGGATACAATATTAATCAATTGTCTTCACACCATTTTATAAAGGCATTCAATGCAGTTTCAAGACGTAGATGATCTTCAGGTGTTTCTATTATATTTAAAATTTTGCAATTATCATCAAAAAGTAGGCACTCAAAATCTTTCAGAATAAAATTAATATCGTCTATATAGATGATGAAAAGTAAGTGACCTAGATGTGGTCCTTGAGAAAAAACTGAAAAATTAGTAATTTCATCTGACTTACCTATATTTCACAAATTGTGATCTACCCTTCAAGTAACTGGTAAACCAACGCATGAGAGAGCTTGTAATACCAAAGCATGTAAGTTTTTTAGTGAGAATGTTATGATTAAGAGTCAAACACCCTACTAAAGTCCGTGTATGTACAATCTACTTGATGTTTTTCGCTGAAGGTATTCAGAATGAGATCAGTTTAGTAAACTAAATTTACTTCTATGGATCTTAATATTATTCCAAATGTTATTATGAATCCAAATTGTTTACCTTATAGAAAAGATACAATAAGGATTATGGTTTTATCAGAGATGATAGGTTCTAATAATGGTTCCACACATTCTGTGGTAATTATGTAGTTTTCTCTTGATGTCTCCTTGAGTGTATTTTAGGTCATCGATTCTGTTTCCTAGGTAAGTGAATTCTCTCACTTGCTCCCATTTATCACTCACTTTCCCCATTTATTTCAATTTTACCTCTTCTTTGTTCCTTTCTTTGCATTGCCATTAATTTTATTTTGCTTATTGATATTCTCATGGAATATTCCTGTGTATCTTTTATAGTTCAAATATTGCCCCCTGCAACTTGGCTTTGGATTCTGCTACTATTACCTGGTCATTTGCGTATAGGATTGTGTTAATCTTTCTATCTCCTTTGATTAAAATTCCCTGGTTCATTTTCTTCCTCCAATTTCTTATTAAGTGGTTAAGATAGAACCAGTGATAAACCACAGCCTTGTTTGAGACCACTGGTAGTTGTTATTGATGTAGAGTTTCTTCCCTTTCCTAGCTGTACTTTTATTCTGGATTTTTTATAAAGGCTTTGTACTGCTTTAATTAAATGATGTGGGAATTTCTCTTCTTGCAAGATTTCTGTCGGTTGCTTTTTCATAATTCACAAATATTACAAACGTAGGTGGGTTTACTCTTTTTCTTTTATCCAAGAGCATTTGTAATGTGATGGCATCTTCAGCGCTCTTTCCCTTTCTGAAGCCACACTGATCTTCACCCAGAAATTTATCATTTAATTAATTGATTCTGTTCTTTAAGATATTTGCATAAATCTTTAAAATTGATGATAGTAGATTCCCCTGTAGTTGTTGCAGTTCTTCGGCCTTTTTTTTTTTTTTTGTATATTGATGATTAGTTCTTCTTGCCATTCTATTGTTATTTTTGTTTCTTGCCAAATTTTATTGAAAAGCGCAAGTAAGGTTTCTTTTAGTTTCTTTCCCCCACATTTTATTAGTTCTAAATTTACCGTATCTGTTCCTAGACTTTTATCTGTTTTTTTGCTTTTTAAGTTCTGATGTTCTTATTAGGTTATTTGTGTGTTCATCAATATGTCCGTTGTGTTTCTTTTTCCTTCTAGTTGACACAACCTTTTGTTGTTCCAATGTATGTGGTAGTATTTGATCCAATCTTCCTCTGGGATGTTGTTCAGTGAGATTCTATCTTTTATATTATTATAAAGATGTTTCAGAATTTTGAACTCTATTCTCTGTGGACCCGTGATGTCTCTCTCTAGACTTTTAATGTAAGCTCTCCAATTCTCTCTTCTGTACCTTCAGCTTTGTTGTCTTACTTTGGCCTTACTTTCTTGTATTCTATGTAATGTTTTAATGTTCATTTTTGCAGGTCGTGTTTTTGTAAGCTTGTTTCTTCTGGACTATTATTTCTTTAATTTCACTGTCCCATTTCTTCTTTTTGCAAGGAGTTATCCTCATGCTTTCCTTCCATGCATCAATTATTGATTCTTTAATTGAATTCCAGAGTGTTTTAATATCTTCATTATCTATTGATCTTCTAATCTTCTTTCATACAAGTGTTCAATGTATCAACATTTTCCATATTTTTAATACAAAAAAGTGAAATTGGTAGTTATACTATTATTATTATTATTATTATTATTATTATTATTATTATTATTATTATTATTATTATTATTTATTGTTTCAGGTTGTGTTGCGTGAAGGAGAGCTGTTATGTGGTGTTTTGGACAAAAAGCATTTTGGATCAACCCCATATGGTCTGGCACATTGTGTACATGAACTCTATGGTGCTGAGTATTGCATGAAACTTTTGTCTGCTTTTGCCCGACTCTTCACTGCTTTTCTGCAAAGAGAAGGCTTTACATTGGGAGTCCGTGACATTCTTGTTGTGCCTGAGGCAGACGCTGAACGTCGCAAATTGCTGGAGGAAGCAAGTCAAATTGGCCCATCTGCAGTTGCTACGGCATTTGAACTTGCAGAACCTTTACTCAACAGTTCACAAGAGAGAAATCAACAGGTTTGCTTTTCCTTACTAAAATATATGTTGGTAGTTTGTGGTTGAAAACCCCTGGATATTAAACATTTTTTAAAAGTTAGTTTAAATGTATCAATTAAAAGGGGATGCATAATAATTTGCATGAGTACAATATTTATATAATGTGTTTACAATGCACATATCAGAATGCGTGTTGCAAAAGTTTTGAATCAAATTCTACCATAAGTTTGGAAATTATATTGGTGAAATAATTAAATTTGATCAGGGGATTAACTCTTAAACTTTCGGAATTTTATCTCTCATAGTTGGATTTCACACTCCATTCGAAGTTATTCAGACTTCTTTTCAAATAAGAGCGAACAAAGAATATAAAACAAAGATGTTTCATGTTTATTGTATGTGCTCTGACAGTGTGTACGCAATTATATAAAATGGGATTACACTACTTGAATGAGCTCTCAGTGCATTTTGATCAAAATTGACTAGATGGGATTTGACAATTGATCTCAAAAAGAGGAAATAAAATTTTTTGGAATTGAAGAATTGAAAGCTTGTAAGAGGAGCATATTAACTCTCATGAAGCTAAGCTAGCCATTAAAACAAATAGCATGTAAATTTCAACCTAGGACTACCATTTTAAATTACTAAGAAATAAAATAAGAATTCAAAGTTGAAAAATTGATTATTGTAACAGGAGCAGTTACCTCCAGGCAGCGAAGCTCATTTACTGCGCATAGCAACTGGTGACCAGCAACTTCGGGCAGCTTTGGATCACTCTTATAAGCAGCTCCTTGATCCTGCCACCAATGGTGTGTCACGGGCTTGTGTTCCTGCTGGCCTCCTGGAAAAATTTCCTGAGAACAATTTGCAACTGATGGTGCAGTCAGGAGCAAAGGGTAGTACTGTGAATACCTTGCAAATTTCTTGCCTGCTGGGACAGATAGAGTTGGAAGGACGCCGACCACCTCTGATGCCGTCAGGCAAAGCTCTGCCATCATTCCGTCGCTTTGACCTATCACCTCGGGCAGGTGGTTTTGTCGCAGGTCGGTTTTTGACTGGCATCCGACCACAGGAGTTTTTCTTTCACTGCATGGCGGGTCGAGAAGGTCTGATCGACACAGCTGTCAAAACCAGGTGGGTTGTTGGTCAAACTGAATGTATAATGGAAAAATACTTAATTTCGTATTTGTAAAAAACACATTTTTCAATCAGGGTACTCACCTTTGTAATAAATCACTTTGTATTCACACAAATGACATACTTGTGATTCATCCTGTTTTAAGATATTCTTGTTATTTGGGTCTTTTCAGCCGAAGTGGCTATTTGCAACGTTGTCTAGTGAAGCACCTAGAAGGATTGGTTGTGGGTTATGATGGTACTGTTCGTGATTCTGATGGTTCTTTGGTACAATTTGCGTACGGAGAAGATGGACTGGATATTTTGAAATCTCAGTTTCTTACACCAAAGCAAATACCTGTGCTGGCAGACAATTACAAGGCATTCTATGACAAAGATGATGTTTCGAGATTAAAAATGGATAAAATAGACCCTGAAATTGAAGCGGCATCCAAAAATGTGAGTTAATAATTTGAGGTTCTTGTTTTGTCTGTCTGTGCGTTTGTGTGTGTGTGCGCGTGCGTGCGTGTGTGTGTGTGTGTGTGTATTCATTCCATACTGATATGTTCTAATTATAAACATTAAGTATATATTGTATTTATCTGGTATCCATATAAATAGCTCACTACAAAATGCCCTCATATAATATGTGAAAGTTATTTTACAAGGCTTTATGGGATGACATAAAACATTCCTTCACTCTTAACAATGCCCTCACCCCCTACCACCTCCTCTCTCGTCCTGTTCTACTGTGTCTTCAGTTCCTGCTCTCGCCCCGCCCTCACTCACCCATCTACCCTTGATTCATACCTCCTTCCCTGCCCCTATCACCACCCCTGCTTCTGCCATCACTTTTGCATTTGCCGTTACCTCTGCTAATCCAAATTCAGTGATTTATAACAAGTAGTAACAGTTATGCCTAGTGGAACAATAATGGTCCAGGGGCATTCTATGTGAAATTGAACACCAATTTAACCTTTTTTAACAATAGAGATAACAATAAAGATTTTGAATGTTCAATATAAAACTACATGCAGTTCCGTTTTTGTGATAAAATTTCCAACGCTTTTGCGTATTCTAGGTAGATCATGGGTCGTGGATAATTCATTCAGAGCTTAAGTCCAAACATCAAAAGAGCTAATGAGAGTTGTTGTTTATAGTATGTAGAAGAATCTTTAAAATCAGAGAAAATTTTGAGACTATTATAAAATACATATGATTCCTTAATACAGGGTGCTGGCAAACCTGGAATCCTCAAAAACAGAAAAAACTGGGAATTTGAAAACGCCTGGAAGAACCGGATATTTGATTTGAAGTTCTGGATTTTTCATTATTTTCAGATTTAGCCCAAATTTACACACAACACCGCATTCAGTATAGTCCTTGATTCAAGTTAGTTCATGATAATGGCAAGCAAGAAAATTGAAGTATGTACGAGAAATGCCACTCGTAGGCTTGAGGATTGTGAAGGCTTTGACTCGCACATTACTCATCTTTCAACATTACCACGTGGGTGCAATCGCCGACCAAATGTGAAAATGTCTGTAGGCCAAAAGCTTAAAGCAATCAAGAACCATTGCACGAGTGTTAGAAGTTAATTACTTTTAGGAGTATTCCAGACGTTTATTTCTACTAAAATCGTCAGCGACACCTTCAATAAATCCTGTTGCAAAATTTAGAAAGAAAAAAAATCCTCTAACACATATAGCCAGACTCCATGTTATGTTGGTTGTTGATACCAAAAAATCGATTAATGGTTGTCTGTCTATGATCAACGCTAGCACCTGAACCTTTCAGCTAATTTTCTTCAAAATTGATACTCCCCAAACATTCTGTCTGATGTCGCGGTTCATGGAGTTTGAAAACGATATTTGAATTGTGGGGGTACTTTACATGAAACCCCTCAGACATTTTCAGAATTATGGCTCCAAATTTTTTGATTAAATTTTGTTTTTGAATAGTGCGAAGAATGTTTAAGAGAATGATATGGGTCTAATTTTTGTTGAAGTTCCCAATTTTGGCTTTTGCTTTGGAGGAAGTCTGTTGTACAAAATGAGCTCTTTAAAAAAGGCCACGTACACTTTTTGGAAAAAAGTAGTAGTTTTTGCGTAATTTCTGCTTGAAATTAACCTGTAGGTTGGACACCAACTATGGGCCATGAGAAAAATTGAATGAATAATACGAAAAATAATAATTTAATTTTAATTATAATTTACTGTTGAAAATGGTAATATAAATTCGGTTTTTATTTTTTACTCAATTTATATTCAGTGTATGGAAGTATTTCTTTGTAAGCAATCTGTAAAGCTTAATTGAAGTTTCTGCAACAATGCCGCAACATTTGAAAGCTTATTGTTGAATGTTGAAATGGTAGCAGTGATAAGATACAGCTGTTTTATTTAGGCAAGCTGATATTTCCAAATAAACCTTTCAGAAATGATTCAAAACGTATTTGATAATCCATATTTTTTGTGGTGGTTTTACAGCAGAGTCTGAATATTAATTAGTAATGTATGTTCCTAGGAAAAAAAAACTAATAAGTTTTTTGTAAAGTTCTTTTTTGTACAAAATTCTACACTCTAGTATTCGGGTGCAAGAGAAAAGTGTGCGAGCAACATTATTTAGTTGAGTAATGAACAGAAAAAAAATGTGCTAAAAATGTGCGAAACTGAACCCGGGAAATTTATATTCTCATACCTGAAAAATGGGTAAAACCTTGAGTTTCAAAATGCCAGGTATCTGGCCACTCTGTTAATAATACTATAACAGCATTCTTTTTTTAAATAATAATAATAATAATAATAATAATAATAATAATAATAATAATAATAATAATAATAATAATCATAATTATAATAAAAAAAGTTGCTACACTTCAGCAAATGCAATTAATAACTCTTCCTTGACAAAACCGTCGAGGTGACAAATTGGCAACAGATAGTCCCTATTTTGCTTTTATTTAATAATTTCTTTATATATATTGTGAAAAACAATTAACTTTTATCAGGGAATGTTAAAAAAAAAAAGCACTAGAAAAAAAAGCTCCAAGAAATTTGTTCCCAAGAAAGAACTGTCACCCTGCGTTGATAATTCTATATTAAAAAACTTTTTTGAGTGAAAATGGAAATGATCATTTTTCCTCAGAATCTTTACAATCTAACAACTATTAATCATAGTTAAAAAAGATTGATGAATTATATTGTTAATGAAGTGGAAAAGTTGTCTTAAAAAATATGTTATTATTTATAAATTAACAATAGTTGTATAACATTTCAGGTGCGTCGTTGGTTTCGACGAAATAAACGGTTGGGAATGAAACGACCTCCACGGACGTTCCGGGACTACTCTCATCCTCCTGATCCAATAGCATCTCGTGTTCCCCCCTGCGCTGCCTTTGAAGCATTGACAGAACGTTTAGAGGGTCTTATAAATGATTATCTTAAGAAACATCAATCTCCACCTTCAAAGGACAATCCTATGCGCGATGCACTCTTACTGAAGAGTGTATGTGCTCGAGCTGAACCTGGAGAACCCGTAGGTGTCTTAGCTGCCCAGTCTATTGGAGAACCTTCTACTCAGATGACCCTAAACACATTCCATTTTGCTGGTCGCGGTGAGATGAACGTGACTCTGGGTATTCCACGATTGAGAGAGGTGCTGATGATGGCTTCACGTCATCCTAAGACACCAGCTATGGAAGTACCAATGCGTGCTGATTTACCAAATATGGCTGCTTCTGCGGATTCACTTCGTCGTCGTTTGCGTCGGAGCCATCTCTCAGAACTCTTAGAAAAAGTTGATATAACAGAATGGCTTGATATTGGTAAAGAAGGTCGAAAAAGAATCTATCGCATTCACATGCAATTTCTCCCAAAGAAGGAATTGCGTCGTGAACATTCTGTAAGTCCTAATCAAGTCTTACAGCATGTGGAGTCTCATTTCTTGGCAAATCTAGTTCTTGGTATACGGAAGCTTCTGCGCACTTCATCAACCTTGTTGGAGACAAAGGAGAGTCGCAAAGGTGAGTTGTCTAAAAATATTTTATCCACTTTGATAATCTTAAGTCAAACTTTACGAAACTAAGTTTGTTTTTTTTTCCTTCCCTTCAAACACATACCCTTTTAATTTTTACTTTTGAAAAAATGAGTAGTTTTTGCAAAATCCACACTTGAAATTGTCAATTTTTTTGTTTAAATTTTCTGCACTTTTGTAATAAAGTGCCTCATTATTTTCCCAGATCTTTGATCCCAGTCTTTGGTTGGCCGAAAGACATTTTTCTCACATTTTCTCGATGTTTCAGTTTCCTAATGCTAGAAATGAAACCACCATACCCTTATTACTATTATATAAGTGTCAATGGCATGCACTGCTTTGGTGGCTAATTGGTGGGTACGTACAAAGCTCTTCGGAGGGGAAGTTCGCTGGTTCATGTCTTGGCCAGTGAATGTTATTTGGGATAATTCTCTGATGCTGCAGAAAATAATTGAGAATTACAGGAAATTTATTGAAAACCATTTGAAGCAATTCTAATCTCAAATAGAATTAATTAAGATCAATATCTATGTGTATGTATGTGATTTTCAAATTTTAAAGTTTTAAACAATTTTTAGTATCTTTTCGATTTGTAAAACGTATGTACCATCGAATCAGTTGTTCATCTTTCTGCACATATGTGTGAACCAATTTGAGTAAAATAATGAATTTATCAACATTAAATTTAAATAGAATGCAACCAGTACCAATGGGATTAACTTAAATATCTCTAATGATTCCGAAATTATTATTATTTTCTTGTGATACGAGTTCTTCGTAAGAAGAGAAAGTAATGTAATCTTATGCCTGAAAAGGGCATAGAATGAAGACGTGAATAAATCTGGTTGCTAAATTTAGGCGAGGGGGGAGTCCTCTAACTCGTTGTGGGCCCAGAATCCATGTTTTTTGTTACTAAAAAATAATTTTCTGTCCATCTGTCTGTGGTCAACACAAGCACCTAAACTGTTCAGCTGATTTTCTTAAAAATTGATATTCCCTGATTGATCTGAAGGCTTTGGGAGTTTCTACTGGATATTTTTGATTGTTGAATTTTTTTTTACATGAAACTTTTTATGCCTTTGCTTGGGTTTAAACCATGCAGTGCTGGCCTAGTGGAATGAAAGCCGACACATTAACTGTGAGGATCTGCGTTTGAGTGTCAGAGTAGGAAAATCATGTGCTGCTTGAATACACTTCTGCTAGTTCATATGGTAGTGAAAATTTTGCAGAGCATTTAGAAACAATGTGAGAAAGAATGTGCTATGTGAGCACCGGTAGTTTCTAATAATGTCAAAACTGTAGTAAATGAAATTTCGTGCACGTAGGACCACAGTAAACTATGGCGACTTGCATCGAAACTTGCTAGTACTTGCAGACCGAGCCTAAAGCAAGCTGGCCTATCGACATGCTTGTAATTACTTGCAGTTTTGTTAGTAAATTCATAATTTTCGAAAAGTCAACATGTCAGTGGAATTACAGAGTTCTGTATAGAGTATATTTTTTATAGGGAGTGTGAAAAATCAAATAACGGGTTCAAAACTTCTCTTAAAAACTGACTAATAAAGAGGAAAGGGCACACCTAAGGCAACGGCACTATTAAGGAAATAAAGTTGCCTGATTAATATTTTTCCCTGCCAACTGCTTTGACACAATCGTATGAACCATTAAAAATATTTCTTTTAATTCTAATGAAAATATGGATATGCAAGCAGATTTTACAACACTGATCGAGATCACATGACCTGGGCAACATCCAAGTGGAAAGATATCATTGTTCCAAAATTAGTAGCAGTGTTTAATAAGTGTCAGCTAAGTATGAGCGGTTCTTGAAGCTACCATTGAGGTAATTGGGAATAATAATCACGAATTTTCAATAAGTACTCAATTCAAAGTTTCAGTTGAAGTCGGTTCAAAGACAGATCACTGGTATGGAAAACTGTTGCCAGCTTTTGATGCTCAGAAGTCAAAAGAACGTCTTCCAATCGCTATTTCATATGAAAATAAAGAATAACTTATTGCTGTACCAAGGCAGGATAGCTCTTCAGGAAGCCAACATGCGCAAGCTATTTGGAAAGTGATTGTAGACTGGAATATTCAAGATTAGGTCCCAATTCTTTGTTGTGATACTACTGCTTCACATACAAGTTGTATCAATGTTGCCTGAGCTTGTTTATATTTGGGAAATGTTAATATTCACCTGTTCATCATCATGTGTATGAATTGGTGTTAAATAGTGTATTCGAAGTGAAATTCAGTCAAGTGACTACAAGCCCTAGTAATCCACTCTTCAAGAAGTTCCAAGGTAACTGGAAAAGTGTTGTTCCTTATAAAATACAGTGCTACAGAGCAAAGCTTACATCAGGTCTAGTGATTTCCAAAATTGATAAATTATCTGTTAAATTGAAACTACAAAAATATCAGATCATGTCAAAATTAAATAGAATTTCTCAACAGTGATTAATTTTATTAAAGTAGTCATCATCATCATGAACTGACCAGATATTAGGTTCTACAGCCTGTTTCTATTGGTTTATTACAGTATTCCTGGTAGATTATTAGTCTTCCAAGTGTTCCTGCTGTTGCCACCTCTTTATTGATCTCCCTCTATTTCTGATCCCAATTGGTTTGTACTTCCAGATTAATTTTGGAAATCTGTTGTTGTTTATTCTCTGTGAATGATTTTCACATCTCCTTTGAAACTGTTGTATCTTTTTTACTAAACATTTGGTTCTCAATTTCTTTCTGTTGTCTTTATTTCTTAGGGCCGAATTCATAGCAGTCACTTACCGTATAAGTGAACCCTTAAGTGATAAAGAGTTTGTAAGCTGAGTCCACTTGAACAATAGGAACAAGCCTCAACAACATCAGTAACATATCCAAGAGCTTGAGTTGTTCATCTGAAGTGGTTTGGATCAAAGGTTTAACGTAATTTTTCTTGGTATTTAGGGCATTTTTAAAGCATTTTTTTGGTCATTTTTGGCAATGTTTTAGGTCTTTAAAATCCACTCCCAAGTTATCTCCAATGCAAATTAGCCGTTTTTGTATGACCTTTTTGGTTTTTGTATTTTTTGTCAATTTCAACTGTTAAGTCATTTTTTACCGTTTTCCGACATTTTTAAAGCATTTTTGCTGATTTTATAGATTTCGGCAAAGGTAAGTTATGGGAAAAGATACAAAAAATCATATTTGCTTGATGTGGCACTACCAGCAGTCATTCACAGATGGGTTTCAGAAAAGAACATTTGTTTCATAGAATTCAGAATGAATTTGGCTGAGCAACTTCTCCATTCACCTTCTGGAAAAGCCTCCAGTAGGAAAAAAACCCAATGTTTTGAAAAAATCATAAAGATCGTGTAGAAAAGCCTCCTTCTTTCAAGGTACGGCCTTCAGGAAAATGTAAAAAATGTTCAACACGAGGAAAACTGGCTATAAAAAGTGCTAGGTTCCTTTAAACATGGAATATTGTTTGGAAATTTGTCATACTGAAAATTAACATTTTATTTTTATTAATTAGGTACAATTGAATTAATTACTAACATTTATTTGATTATTGAATTAGTTATGTAATGTGATAAATTGTGGAGTCCCGCAAGGATCCATCCTTAAGCCAATACTATTCCTTATGTACATAAATGACACGCCTTTGGCTTTAAGGAATAACAAAATCATTTTGTTTGCAGATGATGCTAACATAATCATCAAAGCAAAAACACAACAATCATTATAAAAAGAAACTCATAAAACTTTGCAAGCACTAGTAAAATGGTTTCAAGATGACAAACTCATCATAAACACCAACAAGACAGTCTCTCTAAATTTCATGAGTCCCCAATCTAAAGAAAAACTCTCACAGCATTTGCTCATAAACAATAACCCTGTAATGATATCGCATGTAACTACCTTCCTCGGTCTCTCATTTCAAGAAAACCTAAAACAAAATGCTCACATCTCAAATCTTAACAAGAAGCTCACCAAATCTTGCTATGCCCTATACACCCTCGGGTCAAGCTTCAACATTTGAGATACTTCGAACAATGTATTTTGCAAATGTGCACTCACACCTAAAATATGGAATAATATTCTGGGGAAATGCCCCTGAAAGGACATGGACATTAATTTCCGAAAAAGAATGTTGCGAACAATGACCAGCACTCATAAGCTGGAGTCTTGCAATCCCTTGTTCAATAAACTAAGGATTCTTCGTTTACCATGCATGTATATATTTGAAATAGTGGGCTTCACAAAAAAAAAAATGCTCATGGAAAACAAAGACACTTTTACTTTAAATTCTGATGTACACAACTACAACACTCATCAAAAGGATAATCTACATGTTCCCCACTCTGAAACTACACTTTATTAAAAAAGTATCCTAATAGAGGGCATTACAGTCTACAACAAACTAGGCAATGATATTAAAGGCATAAACACAATTCATACATTTAAAAGCAAATTGAAAGCTTTCCTGCTTAACAACATGTTCTACAGTGTAAAGGAGTATTCAAATTAAAACATTTCCCTTAAAAAATATAATTAAATTAGAATTTCTTATCCCATTAGATTTTCTGTTTCATGTTAACTGTTTTGAGCTGAAGCAAAGATAAAAGAACTGACATATTTTATCCTGTGAAGTAGAAGGAGAATGCCTGACAAAAAACAAAAAAATATTTTTCTCTCTGGATTTGCTAGACACATTAGGTGCTGCAGTAGGACTACTTGTACAAATTGAAAGAAGAAAAAAGAAAAGAAAAAACTGGTCAAAACTTGCCTTGTCCTACGTCCTACTCACTATTTCGAGTATTAAATATAGAATGTACTAATATTGTTAAATTTTATGTAGTAGCTAACAGAATTGATATGTATTGTTTTATTATTATTATTATTATTATTATTATTATTATTATTATTATTATTATTATTATTATTATTATGATTATGATTATAAGTAGTAGCATTAAAATAACATCTTGAAATGTTAACTTATCTATTTATAATATCCTAATCTATCTGTAAGTATTCCCTGGCCCCTTGAGAAAATTCTGAGATGGCCCCTTGTTTGCTCCTGAACAGTAATGTAACTTCTCCACTCAAGACATCATATTGACTCGTCATACACGATTGTAATTGTATATGTGACTCCTGTAGCATTTTCTGTTTTTACTGAAAATTGTATTATTAAAACCTGAATTAAATATTGGAATTGGAAATTTAGGGAAAGATGGGAAAGACTACTATGGGAATCAATTGGGGAATAAGAATTTTGGCGAAAATCCTGCTTAAGGATAAGGTGCAAATGTTGATCACAAATGGACAGACATTTTGTTTTAAGCCAGGTTGCTTTAGGCCAGCTTTTAGGTCTTGAGGACCCCTAAATGAGAATTCTGAATACTCAACGTTTTCCGATTAAAAATCACTGTTTTTCACTGCAGTATTTCACAATTTTCTCTATGTATGTAGTATGCCAGAAAGTAAAACGCAAGGGTCCTAAATGGAAACCATAAGACACACTTGCATGTGAATTTCCTATATTGGACAAATTGTGTTCTATTGAACCAATGGCTAATAAACAATTTTAACACCAAAATATTCAACATGAATACTCTACTAAAATGAAAATAAATGTTGTCTACTTGGTGTTTGTCTTCAAATACATTTAATATGAATTCTGCATACTAGTATCATGTTCAGAATGTAAAAATAAATAAATATATGTATCCAATTGTATTTTATATCCAATTTAAAATAATTTTATGTAATTATTTTATTCCAATCTACATTTGCACAAAAATTTAGCTTTACAAAGCTAAAGTTAAACAGAGATCGAAATATATTTTCACATGTGAATTTTTGGTGAAATTTTTGGTTTCTCTCAATATTAAAAAACTTGGACTCGTCTGGTCATTGCACCAAACCCTTCATTTGTTCTTCGTTCTAAATTCATGGACTTATGATTTTTTTTCAACAGAAGGTCAAACTCAAAATGGTGAGGCGGAGGATCCTGAGAAGGATGTAGATCATGATGTGAGAAATAGAGCAAGGCCACTGGGTGAGGATCAAGATAGTTCCAGTGAAGATGAGAATGAAGAGGAGGAGGAGGATGCAACTTCAGCCCGCAATCGTGCTCGTCACAATGAATCCCATGAATACGATCAGCCTGAGGGATCGGAAGATGAGCAGTCAAATAATGGTGAGAATGTTAATGAAAGTTTTCAAGAGGAAAGGCAAACCAACTCATCCCAGAATAATGAATACAGTGTTCAAACAGAAGAAATAAATAGAACATTTGAGAGATTCCAGAAAGACAATGAACTGAAGAAACGAGTTGAGAAGGTTCTTTCAAAGTGAGTCCAATTTGTATGAATCAAATTGTCATATTGATTTTTGTATACTTGTTTACATATGATTTATATTCTGATTTAAAGAAAAGGAGGTGAATTGATGTTTGATCAGCTTGGAGGCGGTTCTCTAATTGGAAGCTTTGTTGCAACAATTTCACAAATCAAGTCACAACAAAGCTTTTGATTGAATAACCATGTGCCAGCTGATCAAATGTCAATTTGCCCTACATTTTAATCAAGAGTACAGATCATTTACTTTGCATCACCTGTGTAAGTTGGTGATTATTCATGAGTAAATAATTATTTATGAAATTAAATATCATTTCAGCATCCCTTATGTTTCTAATTACAACTAATTTTTAATTTTTGGTGTATGTGAAATCTTTCTTAACCAGTCATTTAACTCCTGGATCCCGAGAAAAATGACAATTAGTAAAGGTGGTCATTTAATGGAGGGTATCATTATATGAGAATTGAACATGTTATGTAATTTTGCTCCATGCAAAGAAGTTAGAATGTTTTGCTTTTGCACATTGATTCCCAACAACAAGAAATGAATTTGTGTTGATGTGTACCATTATCTTTAAGGAAAAGATTTGCAAATTAGTTAAATCTGCAGCTTAACTCATTGCAAAAACATGTCCTCCTTACAGGAAAATCTATTGGTTCCACAAAAAGATGTTTTTTAATGGAGGTGTCTGCTTATCAAAGTGGATATTTCAATAGGTTTCCCTGTATTTTATAGTTATTTAAGTTTCTTGATCACTAAAATCTTGAATCTTGAAATCTTGAACCTGAAAGGAAAGGGCATAAGTAGTGGTATATTCCAACTTGGGCAAATTAAATCATTTGCATAACTTATATTATGGGTAGTTGCCACATAAAATGTTGAACAAATTTTTAAATTTTGTAATACTCTCAATTAATTACAAATAATGATTCATTGTACAATTGTAAATAAGAATAATTAGGCCTTCCTTTCCAATCCACAAAATAATTTTCAAGCATTTCTCAGAAGTGCAGCATCTGCCAACATACCACAGCAAGGAGAGCAACACTCCATAGTCTCCATTAACATTTTGACAGCTCAAATTATTGTTTTGCACTGGGGTTATAGCCCTCACCGTGTCCCAGGGGATAAATTCCCTTCGATGTGTTGAGTGTACTGCAGCTGGTGAACAAGTGTTGGGCCTCTACTAATTTTCTGTGGCGGGGGAGCTCACACTTAAATGAAAAAACAGCAATAATAAGAATAACAATAATAGTAATAATAAAATAAATCAATATAATGATGAAGTCCTATGAGGTTGAAAATGTCTTTTACATCATATGTGTCTATTGAATTTATGAATTTTTGTCTTGTCCTCCCATTAACACCATGCTATGCCCTGACTAGGATGACAAGAGATCTTTTGAATTTAGAAGTCTGAAAAAGAAATATGCATTTTGCCTAAGAATTATAGTTAAAAATTGAAAAGTGTGAAAACAAAGTAACATGAAATGATTGGGGAAAAAATTGAGACACTACACTAATAGCAACATTGTGAATTAAATGTAATATTTTTTTGAAACGGTCTTGGGGTTGAACTCGTTGATATAAATGTTAAGTGCTGTAACACACATTTGAAGATCTTGTGTCTTCTGGCTGATAGCATAGGGATATTCTCGTGGTTCTGATACGTTCTTAATATAGGGTTGTCAATAATTGCCAAATGTTTTAGAAATCTGTTCTGCACTTTTTTAATAATTGTGGATGAAGCCTCAGTATAGGGTGACCAAACGACTACTGCATATTCTAAAATAGACCTCACAAGAGCAAAAAATAGTTATTTGAAATACTGGATATTACGAAAATCTTTGGTGTTCTACATCAGGAATCCCAGCATTTTTTGCTTTATTACACATCAGTTCAATATGCAAATTAAAATCCAAACAGACATAAAAGGTCATACAAAGACCTACAATGTTATCCATAGATTGTAGAGGATGGATGTCAGTTGCGAAAGGGCTTCTTTTTCTTGGTGAAACTTACAACATAGAATGTGTCGATATTCAGCATTTAACCATTATACAAACACTAGCCAAAAAAGTTATGTTATGTTCCATTGCAGATTAAGGGCATCAGTTTCACTTCATATTTAGTTAAACAAGTAAAAGTCAAGAATTTACTGTTTGATAACACGAGGGAGATGATTGATAAAGGTGTTAAATATTAAAGGGTTGAGGTAGGAGCCTTGCGGAACACATGAGGAAAAATTGTAATATACAGTTACTACCATTGAAAGAGACAGTTTGCTCTCATTTAGGTACGTCCGAAACCAAGCCAGAAGCGATATCTCTAATATAAAATAAAAGAGGAATAAAGTTTATAACCATCTTAAACTTCCCTGACTTCTAAAAATTCTTCTACAAATTTCTTAAATTTACCAGAGCAATGAAATTCCTGAATTTTTTCTTCTCCTCCTCCTCAGAAAGTGGCGCCTGTTACACTGTGTAGTATCTTTGAAACTGAACTATTGACTCAAATTTCACCCACTTGTATTAGAAATATATTAAATTATTTCATTGATGTTTTAATTCCTCTTTTCTAGATATAAATTGGTGACAAACTACATGTTCGACCTAGTCCGTGAACAGTGGTGTGAAGTGACATTTGGACTTCCCTTGTCATTGGCTCGTGTGGATTTCTCTACTATATTTCGAGAAGTTGCAGAACAGTCTGTTGTATGTTCAACACCTGGGATAAAACGAGCTTTTGTTAATTCAAATCCTGATGGAAGTCTTGTGCTTCGTACAGATGGGACAAATTTGCCAGCAATGTTCAAGTATGTTGATGTGCTTGATATCAATCGTATATATTCAAACGATATATATTTGATGTCGCAAACATATGGGATTGAAGCAGCTCGTGCTGTACTTGTAAGAGAGGTGAGTAATATTATTTTATTCATTATAGTTTTTTCTTTTTACTTTCTCACATTCTACTTATGTAGTATAAAGAAAAAATTGTAACGCTGCAGCAAAAAACAGCAATTTGTAACTGCAAAACTTTGTTTTATGGATCCCTGATACTGAAAAAGTATATAATTTTTGTATTTATATGTAGTAAATTCTGTATAACATCGTGTAGTCAGAATCCATGGTTTGCGAAACTGTATATTGAGCATATTGAAAAATTGGTTTACAAGAAAACACGTGTCTGTTGGCAATGCTAGCAGTTAAATTGTGGGCAGGACTTTTATCAAAATTAATATTCCTCAATCAATGTGGCTGGTACTGCGGACCTGTGAACTTGATATGGATATTTTCGTTTTGGAGAATACTTTACATGAAACCTCAAGGACAGTTTCAAAACTTTCTCAAACATGGCTCCAAATTTTTTCTTCACATTATTTTCCCAGATAAAGAAGTGTTGATAAAAATAGTGCGGGTCTGGTTTTCATTGAATTTTCAAAAATTACAAGTTACAAATAATGCAAGAAAGAATGTCTTGTTGCAACACCCCTAGTTCACTTTTTTTTGTGATAAAAAAATTATTTATATTGGAAATGAAAATACCTGCTTGAGCTTAACTTTTTATCTTTCAAATTGAACAAAGTATTTTTCAAAAAATCACATAAATTTTGAAACATTCTAAATATTTTCTCAAAAATTAGTATACAAAGTTTTTTTTTTAAAGATTTTAATGGACTACCCCAATGCAATCACAAAATATCGTATGTAAAGGACTTGCTATTGTCTCACAACATACTCTTGTAATGAGAAAAGATTGTGTCACTGCCTTCATGTTGCTTTGAGCAATACTCTGTATGTGCCACTGGTCTCTTTATTCCTGAGGTAATTCTACAAATAATTCATCTCCTGGAAGAACTACATTTATGTTTTTTGTCCTTGTATGACAAGAATTGCGTTTAATTTTTGAGAGCTTTGATGGGAACACATCACCTACTTCCAGGGATTTCTTTCCTTGAAACAGCTTCAATGTTGTTTATCACTTTGTTTAGATCACAAGCACTCATTTCCATTGTAGCTAGAAAATCAGTAAATTTACATGCTGTGTCTAAGCCACCGCAGAATTGTGATCAACCCATATGAAGAATGAATTTTCTTGAGCCAACTGTATAATTTTTATTTTTAGAAATTCTTTATGATTCATTATGATAGTATCATTTTAGTTGTTTCTGGGACCCATATCTGGGTCCATTTGGTTCTGAAATTATTGTAACAAATATGTAGATTATTAAAATGATTATTAGTACCTCAAAATGTTTTTTAATGGACTTAATACAGTTTACATGTAAGAGTTCTCTTAATTAAGGAGAATTGTATGTTCACAGATTCGTGATGTCTTCAAAGCATATGGAATCACTGTTGATCCGAGACATCTGTTGTTAGTGGCAGATTACATGACATTCTTGGGTACTTATGAGCCTCTCAGCAAACGTGGTATAGAGTCAGCAAGTTCTCCTTTACAACAAATGTCATTTGAATCTTCTCTCAGCTTTCTACAAACAGCAACTCTGCGAGGCCGTCGTGATACCCTACAATCTCCCTCCAGTCGTATAATGTTAGGTCGCCCATGTGGTGCAGGAACAGGTGCTTTCTCTTTGTGCCAGCGTCTTGCAGTGACAGGATAGCTATGTTCCCAATATCCAAGAGTAAATATATTTTAGATACTATTAACAAGAGAATCAAGCCCTAAAATGAAAATGTTCAGAAGTCTATCAAATCCTGCACTAAAAGCACTGGAAAGCAAACCATGCAAGAGGATCATTAATTTCCCAGTCAATATATGAAGAAATATTGACGATTTGTTTTGCTGATAGTAAAAGGAAAAGCAGGAAGGCCGAGAAAATAATTAAAATACAAAGCACAACCAGTACAAACAAATTTGCAATATTTTTTATTTGTTCAATTGACGGGCTAATGATTTTTAACATGGGTTTAATTTGAATCGTTTGAAAATAAAAGGAATATCTTGTTAAAATATAAATGATTTTTTGTATAATCTATTATGAGAAATAAGAACGTCATAACTAGGAATCGGAAACCTGTGTTGTGAAACCTTTTAAATATTTATTCCTCAACCCTATTTTATTTTACATACAATATAATACAGGCAATTATAATTATGACATTAGATTAGAAACGTCGATTGAAAACATTCAAAATCAGGTTTTTTTGGCATTACATTTATATATCTAGCAATTTAGATCAACCACATAATTGTTAGTTCTTCTACAAATCTTACATAATGGAGCATAATAAAGAGTTCATTCTCACAAATGGAACACTAAATAGTACAGTGCCTGTAGAACAAAGTTCACTCATGAATTTCACCCAAGTTTTGAATACAATGTTGGAGAATCTATAAACTTATTTTCCAAGATATAGGGAATATGATATTTTTTGTATAATGGTGCAGTAAGCTTGTATTCAGATTAGCTGCAGTATGATGGTAATCATGAGTTAACCTTGGCAATGGTATACTAAATTGAGCAACTAAAGTAAAAAACATGCTGCACGGTTTCAAGTCTACACACGTGGGTTTAATAAGGAGTATAAATTTGTGAAACATAGCAAAGTAGGACTTCCTAAGGTATGATATAAAATTTTTTGCCTAGTCTGTAAGACACGTTTCGACAAGTCCAGCAACCAATGAGCATTATTAACAATATAATCATTATGTAGATGGAATTTCAATTTACTGTCAAAAATCACCTCCAAATCTTCAAGCTGTGAAACTGTTTCCAATGAAGTATCACTTATTTTGTATTCAAATGGGTCATTCCACTCAAAATTGGAGGAATTTGAAGGAAAATTGACTTCGAGTCTCATATCTTCCTGATTATTTTTTTACAGATTCATGAATACAAACAATTCAACGATTTGTTGTTTTGTTTTGCTCAAATATTTATATTTTTGTCACTTTTAAAAAATTTTCCTTAACTGCACATGCATTAAAATGTATAATTTTATATTTTAAAATCTCAGTTTTGTGTTTGTATTAAATCAAAACTTCAATCTGTGCCTTTCATGAAATTTATCTTTTTTATAAAATTATATTTTTCCATGTTAATTTTTTGTTTGTATTGTTTAAGTTATAAAATTATTGTTTTTCTCACAAATTAAAAATCTGAAAAGAAAGTTCATCCTTTATTCTAAAGGACTGTCCAGTTTCTATTGGCTTCTATTAAAATAACTTTTTGAGAAATTTTTAAATTTTACCTTGTTCAAGGCAACGTGAGAACTCATGCGCCTGACGTATGTGCTGCTATTAAATGAATCACTGGTGGGAACAAGCTTGACAAGATGAAGATGAGTGCAAATGTTCACAGATATCTATATCTATAATATGTAATAATTTGATGCATATGAATTATTTTTAATATTCACAAGAATTTTAAAGCTCATTTCTCAGTGAACATTTGCACTCATTTTTAGTTCCTTAATCTCTTATATGAGATTGCATTGTGATAACAATTTAAAAAATTTAATTGTTAAGAGGAATTTCTTAGGACTAAGAAATTACAAAAACAAGAAAAAATCAGTATTTTCGATTCATTTTCCTCCATGATAGTAATATTTTTTATTGATAACAGACTGATTTGTTTCTTACTAAATAGTTTTGTGGATATTTGGCACACTTGACATTGATATAATCCTCTGCAAGGCATTGTTAAAAATCCTTTTTGTTTTATCATGTTGTGAGCGAACTATTATTACAGTCTTGAACAACGCATCATACAGTTCTGCAACTTTCTGATAATCAGGCACTTCTGACATAAATTTAAGATCGTTATCTGTCATTAATGGCACAACGTTGTCTTCAGAGGATGAATTTTCTCCTGCCAACACCTTGCTGCAAAATTGGAAATCACCCAATAAATTAATTTTTCCAAACATAAATATGTGTTAAAAATTATATATTAGCTAAAATGTCAATGATGTGCAAGTAAATATTCACTAAGCCTTTTTTGATGTTTTTCAATTGTTTACATTGCTAAGTCACATTTTCTCTATTTTTTAAAAAGTGAAATCACTGGAGTTAAAGCATATTAAGATATTCATTACATATTTTTGTTTGTAACCAACCCAAAGTAGTGAAATTTACAGGAAAAAATTAATCTGTAGAACAGATTGTTTTTCTTAAACACAATATTATGTTCTTGAAAGAGATACTGAATAGGCAAATTTATCTCAACACTTTTTGAACAGATTCATTTGTACACGAGTAATATTATTACAAGACAAATGTACTTAATAAAAAACAGTCCTAACTTAACCCATTAGTGCTTGGTGGCAACTTAAGTAGCCACATCGATAAATTTGTTTTAGATTCGCAGAAGTATTTTTTGACTGTTGTATACTGCAATTCCATACTACTTTTTCTGATCTTTGGAGAGAGTTATCTTTTTGTCTTTCTTGGGTTCAGTTGTATTTGATTTCTTGACGTGCGCACAGGCTGAAAACTTGCTACACAGTGGTTTAGTTCAGTTCAGTGGTTTTGTAAGTCTTTTTCTTGCATGTAATTACTTTTTTTGTGTGCATGATATATTTATCAATGGTAACACACCCAGAAACATATTTATGTAAATATTTGTGCAAAAATATGTTTGTTTTTGTTAGAGTAATCTAAATGTGTTTGGCAACTTAGGTTGCTACTGGGTTATTCAATATCACATTATGAAAAAATATTTAAAATTTTGTGAGAGACATTTGTATAAATTGTATTTTGACAAGTTTTCTCAAGGCACAAAATGGTGATGATTTGCTCTTTCAATGAAGAGCTAGAACTTTCAGAAAATAATAGCTTGTGTCCAGACAATATCGCTATTTGTCCGCCTGATGAACATTCTAATGCAGATATTGAATTGAATTGGCCTTATTTTACGTGGCGAGACTCGGGCCATCAGGCCCGCTCTTCCGTCTGACCATGCAAATTTCGCTACGCTCCTTTCACCAACTAGGAGAGAGAGGAGGTATTTCTTGGGCGAGAAACAGGCGATTTGAATTTAGCTCAGAGGCATCATTTAGGCTTGAGGATCTTTTACATGCAAGTAAATCTACGAACATGGGACAGCCGGCTTTACTTCCCCTCCGAAGGAAGGCGTACGAAGGATTTTTTCGCCCTTAAAAATCCACGGCTTCGATCGGGTTTGAACCCGCCAACTTGGGTACAACAGTCCAGTACGCTAACCGTCACACCATCGCCGCCGCAATGGTATGGACAAAGATTCTGACAAATTGGATGAGAAATTATATTGTGAACCTGATCGTCTTCCTGTTCAGATTTTGTGCTCCAAAACAATTTTACAATTTTCAAGAAATGAGAGGCATCTTATTGGAGACAACGAGAAACATTACATACGAGTATGTGAAGAAATCGCTTCAAGGAGCTCAAACTCTGCCACTGTAATTCTTAACAGTCAAAAATCAAAATAAACATTCTCTATAGATTGGGATAAAACTAACAACCTGTCACACAGTATTTCTGTAATGGAATCTGAGTTTCATCAAAATGCAGAAAATTTCTTGAATACAGTAAGTTGTCCTGCCAATGCTTTTCAGGCTTATTTCAACAGGTTTCAGATCTATTTATAACTCAAACAGATGCAGGTTAACATCTAGGTCATGATTTAAGTGTTCCACCTGATGAGATTTTATGCATTTATCTGGCTAGAAGGCTTAGATTGCAATAGAAGGCTTTATTGCAAGACTGATCCCAATGTATATGTACCAATAGTTGCAAATGCAATTTGTCAAAATCGTTTTGATCAAATCATGAGTGTACTACATCTAGCAGACAATTCTACTCACAATGGGAGTAACTGGTTATACGATGTGCATCCTCTCTTTGCAATTATGAATTCCAATTTCAAGCAGGTGATTTCAGGTCCGACAGTTAGCATTGAAGAATGCATTATATTGTACTATGGCAAGCCTGGAGCCAAGCAATTTATTAGAGGGAAGTCGATAAGAATCGGCGACAAAGTTTGCTTAACAGCTGAGCCATTGGGATGTTCCTCATGACAAATCATACTGCTTCTACTTGCGTACCTACTGCAGGCTTAGGCCACGGAGCAGATGTGGTTTTAGATCTTGTAGAAAATTTAGGTATAAAAAAGGGTGTTAGATTCTACTTTGACAAATTGTCCACGTCTGGAGCACTTCTACAAGAACTTATATCACATGGATTAGGGGGTTCAGGAACTATGCAAGAGAATAGTTGTCAAAGTAACTTGAAGTTGTCCAACAAGAAACGTTGAAAAAAGCAATCAAGAGGAAGTATGGCAGAATCCTCTAAAGGGAAACTGCATGTAGCACGCTGGAACAACAATAATGTTCTCATAAACTGCGATGGAGTTCATCCAATGATTACTGCCAGCTAATACTCATGTGCAGAAAAGAAAAAAAATGCCAAGACTAATAGACAAATACAACAAAAATATGGGTGGGGTAGAATTATGTGATCATTTTGTGTCAACCTACAGACACAGCATAATGTCAAAAAAAAAAACCTGTGACCTTTTTTTTTCGCATTCCTCTACTAGAATTCAAGCGTCAATGTGACACCCAGTTACTTGTATCTTATGATACAGCAGTATTATCGCCCAGCGTAAGAAGAACCTTTCCAAATGCAATTCAAGAAATACATGAAGATAGCAAAGATCATGCAGTAAAGAAACATGAACAGAAGTATTGTCGATGCAAAGTCTGTGAAAACCACACTGTATTCATTTGTAAAAAATGTAATGTATCACTTCGTCCAGGAAATTGTTTCATAACATTCCATACTGGCCATATTCAAGATAAGATTTACCTGAATAGAGCCACCAAAATTATATAAAATGATTCTTATTTTACTTTCTCAATTCACAGAAGAAAATATATACTTCAATTTTCTTCGTGAAGTTTTCTCTAAATTGATGCAAAAAAATTGTATTATTTAACAAATTAAAATTTACATTAGCAACAAAAGTACATCAACACATTTACAGTAATTGAAATATAAAACTTGTCTACTAAGTTTAGTAAGCAATAATCATTTATAGAAAAGCTAGTTGCTTTTATTCACTTTGAATAATTGCTGAGTTCTCTCATAAATGTAGGATTATTAAAAACTGCAAGAGAGGATAAATGTACTTAAAGTCAAATGAGGGAACCAGTGAATAGATTAAAAAGGGAAAGAAGAGAGACCAAAATTACAATATAATACCTTGTCATCTGTTTCTTCTCATCGTATAATGCTCTCCAGGCATCTTTTTCCTTCTGCAAATGTTCTATATGACTGAAAGCATTAATCATAAAGGAGTAAGTTTGAATAAATTAACAAACTCGCCAATTTTAATTGTTTTTTTGTTCCATGTCTAACTTATTTTCAGTAGTATTTACATTAAATTAGAAAACCTTTTGTACGCTAATCTGGAAAGTGCTTAAAAAATGAATGAATTGTATTCATACAATACTCGTCAAACAAATTTTCTCAAAAAATTCACACTCATGAATTCATTTAAAGTCAACATATAAATATTATTTTCTTCAAGTCATTTCCCCTCTACCACAGAGTTTGCTTTATAGAAGAAAAACACACTTAAGGTTTTTGTTCTCACTTTGTCTATTCTTATCACTGTACATTTCATTAATCAGAATAATACTTTTGTTCATTTTGAAAACAAAACCAACTGGTGACTTCATGAAAATCAAATACTGAACTTTGCATTTATTGCTAATAAAGATGCACCATGGCAGCTAGAACATCAAGGCCATTAGGGTGTACATTTCTAATCATTGTGATAATTTTTTAACATAAGTATTTTATGAAAGAGAATTAGTAAAATAAATGTTAATGTGGTGAGAATGTAAGGTAACTTTCAATTTGATGGGGGGGGGGGGGGGGGGAAATGATTCAATCTGTTATTAAAATCATTCCTTAAAAAATCTGTAGATACGTTCAGAAAAATCTGTGCAAAATTGTTAACGTTTATAATGTCCCTCGTGGCTTACAGACCCTAGTGGCGCCTCTGATGGTTAAAAGGGAACATGACTCTCAGCACTAACTTTTTATATTAAAAGAAAAATAATCTCCTCAATGAGTAATTCAATTCTAGTGGGAACCGAAGTAAAGACTTTGTTAACCAGTGTTACTAAGCTGTATGATATCTTTAAGAGAAAAAAATGAAATGAGTAATGCTAAAATAAATTCGCTCAGCTCATTGATTTTAAAACATTTTAAAACTATAATCATAGTTTACTATTAATATCAGAATCCGTGTTTTTTAATCCCAATTCGGTAATCTTGTTAATCAGAATATCTTGTTAGTTTAAAGCATTACTTGCCTTAATAGGAAAATTAAGGATAACTTATGTAATTCATAATGTAATAAACAAACAAACAATTGTATTCAAAACAAAAATTCTACTAACCTCATAAATTCATCATCCGTCAGAAAACAAGTCTGATTGATGTCATTTCCAGGACGTTCGAAACCGCTGGAAACGGAATGCGCTGCGCAATGTAATGAAAATAATTAAACTTTAATGAAGATTATTTTACATGCATACTAACAAATTCTTCGTACCTGTCATTTTTTTATCTACAGACCCTCAATACAATGCTAACCAATACAACACACGTCTGCCTCAAGTGCTCCAAAACCCCGCGTTTTGTTGAGTTTGATGGACACTCTATGGAGATGTACGGAACATTTGACTGTAAAAGCTTCGAAGGGTAGTCACAGGGCAGCACCGTCGCCTATGCGTGAGAAGTGGTGAGAAGTGGCAGTCTCAGCAAGTCTCAGTCCTGCAATGCTCAGTCCTGCATTTTACCACCCACGGTAGAAATGTTATTTCCACCATGATCCTTCCTAGAGTTAGTATTGAAATACTGCTGGAAACTAGAGGTGCTAAAACAGCATATTCTTTCTCGCATGATTGAAAATACTTACGTGACATTAAAATATTGTAATTTCTGCCGTACTGAAAACTCCGTTATAACTTGAAAAATTCTAATTCAAACGAATCACCTCTCGTTCTTATATGCATTTATTTCCGTTGTCAGAAAAAATAGTTATTTCTTTCTTTTAGAAATGAAATGAACATGAATAAAAGTAAATGTTACAGAACATAATACATAAAAGCAAGAATAATTTCACAGAAGCATACTTTAATTACATTTGAAGTGAGCTTTCAATTTTTTGTAAATCCACTTTGGTTAGGTAAAGTCAAACATAATGCCATAATGATCAGTTTCATAATGAAATACTTTACCATCCTAGTGTGGTAATGTACTTTATTACCACACTAAAGGCTATAAAGGCGTACTTTGCCACTCTTCTTTTGAAAATATTTTCGACTTCTTTGTCCTCTATCCTACAAGTTTTCCCCTTTAAAAACGCAAAAAACTGAGTAAATCTACTAATATCAATGTTTTTTTGGCTGTCCGGTATATAATACTGGACGCTCAGCACCGCGGTTTTACTGGACTCGAGCCGTGGAAGCTTACGTTCACATTTGATATCATTGTTGTCATTAAGTGATATTGTACTCTTTAACATGAAGTAGTGGGAGCAAAGACTTGTTGGTTTCTCCTTCTCTGACTTGCCAAAAAAGTAACCAATCAATTTTTTTCCGATATGGAATGCACTTTTTTCAATCCAATCTTTAAAAATTAAATACCAAGATATATCTTACACTGTGCACTCATTCTCATATTTCTTTCTTGATTTGTTGGGTAATAATGTTTCTCAGGCAGCAGTTGCTGCTATTTCTGTTTTCAAGTCGGAACTATACACATGTCGAAAAGTATACACCGAATGTATTTCAATTGTTCTCCTTTGGGAGTGTGTGACATTGTCGCCCTTTATGGGAAGAAATATGTGAATACTAATTGAAAGCGTAAAGTGAAATTTATCATTAGATCTAACAAATTTTTGCAAAGTGTATACGATAAAAAGTACGATATTCGTGATGTAACATCTGATTGCGATACTCAATTGGTTACCAAACGGCTTCGTTTGACAATTTTCCATTCTCGTTTTGTAATCAGGTGATTTACGACACGTATCGAAAATAACTACAAAACGACAATTAGCGATTAACTTTAAGTACAGAGATGTCCAAAACACGGTAGTTAGAAAAGCTAGAGGGTTATTTCTGCGAGTAAGTCAATAATAGGACGTACATTCATTACGCCCATCTTCGTAATTTGCAATTCAGACGTGTAAACATTGTCCGTTCATTCTCAGATGTTTCACGTGAAGACGTATGTAGATTTTTTCACATTTTTGCAATAATATAAACAACCCACTAAAGGACATGTCTTTCAACAAATAAATTGTTATTTACTTGCAGTTGCATTGCCTGAACGTGTTGTTCAACAACAGCATCATACGAGTATTATGTATGAGCCACTAAAATTTTGTGGATCTTCAGAACTTTATTTGTATAAAAGCTAAGCCATCTTCGACAAGTCTTTATTAGTGTAAACCTCAACCCTCAAATATTACGTACGTCACCAAATCAACAGTTTTCTTCTGCCATGAGGGTTAAGTCATATCCCAATTATATTGCAAGAAATGGCAACAAATGTTTATTAAAACTTGCCAAGCAAAATATATTAAATGTTTCATTAAAAATGTTTAAATTAAAATTATTGGTAATAGCAAATATTTTAAGCGCGAGACTTGACTATTGAAATTTAACCATCACAATTTGAATAGCGCCTAAATCATGCGTACAATTTTATTCCAGTTGAAGAAACCCATGTCGATCTAGCTCGAGTCGAAATTTTCAGATTTTGAAAAATCTTTAAAATTTTGGGTACTTTACATGAAGTCCTCCGGACATTTTCAAAATTTTTCTGAAAAACGGCTCCAAGTTTTTCTTAAACTTTCTTATAAGAGTAAAATACACTTATAAAGGTGGCATATGTCCAATTTTCAGGTTTAACTCTGGATTTTCAAAAAAATTTCAAATTTCCTAATTTTTCGGGCGTTTTTTACAACTACAAAAATTAAGTTGGAAATTTTTCCTTCAAATAAAATTAGCGAAAGACCCACACTGATGGCTGCCGTTTCATTTCTGGATCAAATTGATAAATCCAGCTTTCATCACCCGTCACGATGTTAAAAATGTTTTTTGATTTTCCTCCATTGAACGTATCCAGGGTTTCACGACACTAATCCACTCGCGCCCTTTTTTGTTCGTTTGACAGATTGTGAGGGATCCAGCGACAGCACAGTATCCTAACGTGAAGCTTTTCTTTTAGGATCTGTCTCACTGCTGCTGATCCAATATTTAAAGCTTCCTGAATTTGATCTTATCTACAACGAGGGTCTTCCCTTAGCAAATGTTCCACTTTCAGCACTTTTTCATCCGTTGTTGCTGCGTTGGGCCTGCCAGAACGGTCTTCATCTTCCAGAGAGTCCCTTCCCCTCTTGAATTCGGCAAACCATCAATAGACAGTGGCTTGCCCCCCCCCCCTCCCCCCAGTGAACACAAATAGCCCTTCTAAGTTAATAAATTACCCGAGCGTGTTCAAACTTGCGAAAGATTCTTACTAAAAGTTCCACCTAACAATGGACATAGTTTCATTGTTGCTGAGTAACTCATTATTGCTCATTCTCAAAACTTTTGGAGCGACCTTCGATTGTTACTTGTATTACTCCGTATAATACGTATGCATACGGGAAAGTAAGAAGGGCAATATTTATTTATATTTTTAAATAACTATTACAGTGGATGCATTGGATATTTATATTTTTAAATATGTATTACAATTGATGTATTGAAAAATGAATACTTAAATTATATTAAATTCTGTTTAACTTAGTGTTGAATGTCAACTCCGTAAAAAGTAACGAACATTTTTGAGAATGTTTTTATGATTATTCTGAATTTTTGTCCCCGTGTGCTTGAGGATAAAACACGACATACGTGTCGATTTTCTTTTAAAACATTGTGATAGTTCGTTGGAGGTTTTCCTGTATCTATAACGGTTTAAAAACGATTTTGTTTTGTTTAGGTACACTTTCTTGCAGTAAAATGTGGTATTTTTTTCTCTAAAAGAAAATTGTATCTTCACGATAACAAGTTGTGTCGGATAGTGGACTGGAGCAAAAGGTGCCAGGAGGGACAGAGTTAGCTTTTTTAAATGCCCTTCTGTTTCCAAGAAGCAGGGATGTAAAATTATAGCACCGTCGTAACAAAAGAGGACAAAAGTAGATTTGTGCTTTGAAGGAAAAAAAGCTTCATGATAATTTCAAGTCAATAGTAGGTACAGTTTCCGCCCATCTTCCTATTTCGCAATTCACGAGTCTAAACATTTTTTGTCATTATCACATGTTTAACATGAAAAAGTATGAAGATTTTCCACATTTTTGCAATACTATAAACAATCCACTAAATGACATAGCTCTCAATGACTAAGTTGTCATTAACTTGCATTGCCTGTACGTGTTGTACAAATAAAGGATTCAATGGCGTAACTCGCCGGCCCGGCAGGTGCAATTATCTGAGGACCCCGGACACAAGGGGAACCCAAATGCAAAGTATTTTTTTTTTTTTTTTTGCCGTAACTGAACACACTTTAAAGGCTCCTCGTAACAGTGATTTGTTTATTACCAAAAATCGACTAATGTAAATTATGAATTACTTATTTTATATACGTTTTTATCCAACAAGATCAAATACAAGGATTCATACAATATATACAACATAAAGGTGAGATATACAAACTTAAAAATAAAAGTATTGAGCCAGAGCAAAAGTTACATATTCATAACTGAACCGACTATTTGCAGAAACAATGCACTAGCTTAGAATGGTGAAACACTTAGCATGGGCAAACAAATACTGCAAATGCAATGGGCGACACACATGAGACCTAAGACATGATGTTTTCCAAATTTGTAGTTTGACATCCCGGGGCTTCTATCACTTATTGCTTTATTTAAATTTGGGTAGATCCACAACTGAAGCGTCTGCGTCTTACTAGGTGGTTCAGTAGAAATGATTCCCTTCGGCGATTCGGATAAGATATTCTAATGTTTCGCAAGCTTTATCTAAAATAATTTTAAACTAATGGTGCTAAACAGCACGCACTTTCTCGCAGTAGTATTGGTTATGTACTATTTATACCACAATTTCTCCCCGAATTAACTCATCGCAGTCATAATTCTTTGTAAAACTCATTACTCATCGTAGAAAATTTGATGAGTTTATCAGCCTTACAATATTTTATGAGTAATTTTGTGTTAAACTTAGGTAGTTTTTAAATTGTAATGATTATTTTAACAGAAAGGATCCACATTTTTCCTTTAATTTTTTTTTTCACGTATGGAGCAAAGAACGATACAGGTGTGTCATCACTGAATAAATAATACACTTTTATTGTATTCCTATAATTTAGATAAGACTCATGATTGCATGATAACATAATTATGGTACAAATTTGTATTTTCTATCTGTACTACAATACGTTGCCATTATTTCAACACTTTATCTTAATGAGGGAGTTCGAGTCTTTTAATATTGCACCTGTAAAGGACATGGCGCTGGTCCTATTTTCGGCACAATCTTAAGTGTCTCACAGTATTTTCGAAAATTGGAAAAATATTTGAAATGTTACATTCGAGTCGCTTCGTTTGAGGGGTTGTTGTAACACATTGTTCTCTCATTAACAAGCAAGTAAATTTCAGACTCTTTAATTGTTATTTATTAGAAAAGGAAAAGATAAATAACGTATTATAATAATCGTAAACTCGTTAACTTGTTATAATGTTCCTAAAGTTAGTTTTTTATTCGGTAGGATTTGCATTATAAACGTTGGAAACGATTGAATGTGTTTGCCACGAATTTGAACGTTTATTCGAATGTGGCGAATACCCAATGTGGAAGGACTTAACTGCCGTATCTACAAATTTGTTTATAATAGTATTCGTTCATTTACTGTTTCATGTTATTTTAACGTTTTTCAAAAACGAACGAACGAAAGTTGGAACAGTTTGTGAAGGTGAATTGATAGCAAATATAAAACGTTTTAGCGGGCTTTCTGCCATATTGCTTTCCGTAGCAACTATAACGGCTTAATTTCCGTTTGAAGACATAATTATGAAGAGACTAATAATGGATTTGCTTGATTGTAAGTCTCAATTTAAAATAAAATGAAAACCACGGCGAAAAATAAACTTATATGTTCGAAACAGAAGCAACTGTGTTCCATAAAGAACGCCTTATAAGAACTTTCATAAAAGCCACAACAATGAAATCTGACAAACTCTTCCATTTATGATAAGAATTGCGTTTTTAGCAAGAATTGATAAGAAAATGTGTGCATATTGTTGCTAGCGCTCTTTGTCGCATGCATCCATTGTCGCTAGCGCCCATTGCCTGAGATGTGTTGTTATGAACGGAAATTGCGGTATAATATTACGTAACCGTTACTAAGAGCTAGAAAGTTTGTGATATTTTTAGCTCCACTAGTTTTTCTTAGTATTGTAGTAAGTTCCCATTATTCTAACACTTATACAAATTAATGAGTT